CATGGAGGAGGGCACCTGTTGGGATGAGCACTGGGTGTTGTATGGAAACCAATTTGACAATAAACTATATTTAATATAAAAAAGGAAATAGACATTAAAAATAATGCTTCAGTGAACAATTATAAACATGCTTGAAACAAATGAAACAAAATAGAATGTCTCAGGGGATGAATAGAAAACCTCAGAAAAAAATAGAAGATATAAATAAGAATCTAAAGGAAATTTTAGAACTGAAAAGTCAAATACATGGAAAAAATAAAACTTTTAATGCATGGGCTCAATATCAGAATGGAGAGGTCAGGGATGCTTAGGTGGCTCAGTTGTTAAGCATCTGACTCTTGATTTCAGCCCAGGCCACAAACACGATTGTGAGATTGAGCCCTGCATTGGGCTCTGTGCTCAGCATGGAGGCTGTTTGAGATTCTCTCTCTCCCTCTCTGTCTGCCCTTCCCCTACTTGTGCACATGCTCTCTCACTCTCTTTTTCAAAGTAAACATTAAAAACAAAAAAGAACAGAGATGGCAGGAGAAAATAATCAGTGAATATGGAATAATAGAAATTACACAATCTAAATAACAAAGAAAATTTTCTGAAAAAAAAAAGCCACTCTCAGGAATATGTGGTAATAAAATAAAAGATGAAAAACTGAGGTCATCAGAGACCCCAAGGAGAGGAGAAAGAGTATGGAGCTGACAAAATATCAAATGAATATCTTGATACTGAAAATACCCACATTTGGCAAAGGAGACACTAAAAACCTACAGGTTCAAGAAGCTGAACAAATTCAAAACAGGATAAACTCAGACAATCTCCAATATATAAATCTCAAACAATTCCAAGACATACCTTGGTTCGTTTTATATATACATACATACACATGTATGAAACGTATTATCTAGAGTAACCACTAAAAAACCTATACAGGGAGGTACGCTGAAAAACGCTATAGATAAATCAAAATGGAATTTGAAAGTGTATTTAAGCAATCCATAAGAAGGCAGGAAAAGGAAACTAAAACATGAGAAAAGAAGAAACAGGAACAAAAGATAAAATAGCAGACTTAAGTCTTAATATATTAATAATTACTTCAAATTGTATAAATACTGAAAATGGCAGAGTGGATGAAAAATATCACTAAACTTTACGGTGTTTATACAATGTCTTCCAGAAAACCCAGAGAATACTTCCCTTCTCATTTTATGAAGCCAACATTACTTTGATACCTAAACCAGACAAAGACAGTATAAACAAAATTAAATAGAATTCAACAATGCACAACAAGAGTCATACACCATAACCAAATGGGATCTTTTCCAGGAATACAATACTGGCCCAATATTCTAAAATTAATCAACATAATTTACCATATTAACAATGGAAAGAAGAAAAAATCACATGATATTATTAATTGACCCCAAAAAAGCTTTTGCTAAAATACAACAATCATTTATGATTAAACATTTCAGAAAATTAGCAATATAACAGGATGTCCTTGACTTGATAGCGAGTATTTACAAAACCCTACAGCAATAGGATTATTATTGGTGAAAGACTGAATGTTTTCCTCCTAAAATCTGGAACCAAGCAAATACGTACACTCTCACTACTGCTAGTCAACATATTCCCAGGACATCTAGTCAGCTCAACTCAGAAACAAAAGGAAATAAAAGGCATATAGATTGGAAAGGTAGAAGGGAAAAAAAAAGTCCTTACTTGCAGGTAACATACAGTGGTTGGCATAGAAAATTCTACAAAATCTAACCAACAGGCTAACCAAACATCAAATAAAAAATATCTTCTGGGCGTAATAAGTGCATTCAGCAAAGTCACAGAATATTGCATCATAAAAATATCAATTGTATTTAAACACTCGCAATGAACATGAGGAAACTGAAGTTTAAACTGTAACACCATTTGCAGCTGTTCAAAAAGAAATAAAACTGTTTCAAATCGGAGAACTAAATACAAAGCTTGTTCACTGAAAACTACAAGATTCTGATGAAAATCATCAAAAAGATGTAAATAGGTGGGGTCTTACTTTGTATTACTATATTGGAAGACCACATGGGAAAGATATTGATTTCTCCAGTGGATATATAGGGTTGTCACAATTCCCATTGAAATTACTGTAAGACTTTTTATAAATATAGAGAAGATTATTCCAAAACTTATAGGGGAAGACAAAGGAACTAGAGTAGCTAAAAGAAATCTGAAAAAAGAAAAAAAAAAAAAACCAGGAGTAATCACTTTGAGAGCTATTATATAGAGAGTCAGACTGTCAGGACAATAGACACAGAGATCAATGGAATCAAATAGAAATCTCAGAAATAGTTCCACCCTAGTAAAGCCAACTCTTTTTTGACAAAGTTTGTAAAGCAAATCAATGGAGGAGGTAGAATCTCTTCAGCAAAAGGTCCTGAAACTATCCAGCAAAAAAATACAAAAACAAAAGAAACTCAACCTAAATCTCAATGCTTTTACCAAATTCATGTCAAAATTAACTCAAAATAGATCATGGGTGTCAGTGTAGAATGCAAAACTATAATACATTTAGATAAAACAGCAAATATCTTAGGATCTTGGGCTAAGGCAAAGAGTTCTTCCACTTGACATCAGTTCATTTGACATGACTAATAAAATAAAAGACAAAGTTGATAAATTGGACTTCATTGAAATTGAAAATGCTTAACTCTACCAAAGTCTCATTATGAGGATGAAAAGACAAGCTGCAAATTGGGAGGAGACATTGGCAAACCGACAGAGGACTAGCGTCTGGAAAAATAAAGAGTTCTGAGAACTCAACAATAATAACGCAAGCAATTCAATCAGAAAATAGGCGAAAGGTAGGAAGAGACATCTCACCAAAGACAATATACAGGTGACAAACAAGCACTTGAGAGATGTGTGGCATCATCAGTCATTCAAGAAATGCAAATGAAACTATAATGAAATATCATTTCATTCAATTAGAATGGCTAAACCGAAAACAATAATTATGTCGCCAGAAAGCTGGCAAAGGATATAAGGAATACCGGATCATTAATACATTGCTGACGGGAATATTAAATAATATAACACTCTGGAAAACAATTTGGCAATTTAAAAAAAAGAGCAAACATGCAACCTCCCTGAGGTGAAGCAGTTGTACTCCTGGGATCAGCGAAAGAGATGAGAGGTCATTTTCTGGTGGAATAGTTCTGTATCTTGATTGCAGTGGTGCGAATTACACCTATGATAAAATGCCACATGAACACAAACATGCAATAGACTAATGTGTATTTCTGGTTTTGTTATTGTACTATAATTATGTGAGATGTAACTACTGGGGAAATTGAGGGAGGTGTGCATAGACATCAGATTCTGCTACGCTATCTCTGTAACTACCTATGAGTCCATAATTATTTCAAAATAAAATTTAAAAAAATGAGATACTAGTACTTTGTATTCATACATTGGAAAAATGTGGGATCCTCTGCTTTCTAAGAAAATACAATTTTTGAATATAGTTTTGGGGAAAGAAAAGCGATGCCCACGATGATTCAGCCCATTAAAATGTACATTCTGGTTGCACGCTGAAGATATAATCCTACCTTTTGGGAGTTACTAAGAATGAGGCAGGTTGTGTTCACGAAGCATGGACATAAAGGTAAATCTACTGACTCTGCTCAAGTAGGGCAAATTGTGACTGTTCTGCCAGCTCTTTGAGGAAGGGTGAGTAACAACGCACAGGTGGATATGTTTAATTTAAGTTCAATATTTTCTTTATTGTGTTTTGTAACTATCTGTTTTCAAATTCATGAGATAACAAAGTAAGATTGTTGGGTAAACAACTATGTCGAGAGGATGATGTCAACTTTAATAACGAACGTGTTTATGTCTCTACAAACTACACAAATGTTTGTTTTTCACGTTCATATAAGATAGTGTACGTATTACCTCTCCAAAGTGATTTTGAGCTCGTTCTATTCAGTCAAACCCAAGTGATGGTTCTTATACTAGGGCTTTCTCTACTCCATCACCATTTCCTCTCTAAGAGAGCCAATATTCCACTTTTCTTCTTGGGGCCTCGTAAATGTTAAAATAGAATGGCTATTATCCACGTAGGGTAATTCAGATAGAACTAAGTAAATTGCAGAACGGTGTAAGAAGAATCCAATGATTCTCTATGTACTTCTGTAGCATCCATGTACTGAGAGAGTTGAGATATACAACCTTAGTTCTTGGTCTGAGGATACCCTTGGGATTTGTTACAGGGCATGTGGGAAAGTAAAGTCATTCTACTGATTACTCAGAATGCCATCCCTTAACGTGTGCAGAGAAAAAAAAAACTATAAAGAATTACATGAAGGGGAACCTGAGTGGCTTAGTTGGTTGAACATCTGACTCTTAAATTGGCTCAGGTCATGATCTCAGGGTTCGTGGGTTCGGGCCCCACATCGGGCTCTGTCCTGACAGCAGGGAGCCTGCTTGGGATTCTCTTTCTCCCTCTCTCTCTGCCCCTCCTCCCCTTTGTCTCAAAATAAACAAATTAACCTAAAACAAGAAGAGTTACATGAAGATATTAGCAGAGGTTGTCTCTCTGTAGCGAGTTTCATTGATACTTTTCTGTGTTTTCTAAATTTATATTATGATTAATACATACTGCTTTTATCTAAATATATAGTTGTTGGGTTAATATATGTTAAGATATATGCATTTTATGTATATTTGATATACACATCAAATATATATATGACTTTACTTAGATAGTATTTTCTCTAGTTTTTTCTCAACTTGCTCCCAGAATCTCTTTCAGTCTCTTCTAGTGTTTACCAAATCATGAAATCTGGCCAGAAAGCCTTTTCGTGTGAGTGGGGTTGATTCTGCTTATGTGTTTTTAGCATGAGAGGAATGTGCTGAGATTTGGAAACAGCTTCAAGGCTTCTCTTCCCCATAATTGGTTTTATCTGCTATCGTTGTAAACTGACTAAATCTCACTACCTCTCTGCCCTCTTTTCCAGGGAGTTCCTAGCCTCAAATTACAGTGAAACCTACTACTCTATAAAAGGAGAGGCCGTCACCAGCTACCCTTCCACCACGGTATCTTATGGAACCTTCCCTTGTCTTCTGAAATTTTCTCATGGGATTTTGAAACACAGTCCAGATGTACAGGCAGCTTCTGAAAATGTTATGTCAGAGGCGAATCTTACATTGAATACTGTCACGAATCATTCTAGAATAGAAAACATGACCCTTCAAACTCTAAAGGAGGCCGACTACTGTCTCACAAGCAGATTGATGACTGTTAATGTATTTTTTCTTAACTAAACTGATTTCTGTGTACCCCAAATGGTGTTAAGTCTGGAGAAAGGGTAAAGCAGGAACCAAAGAAGTAGAAGGCACCCTGATGAGATTGTCATCGGGCTAAAGGGATAAAAACTAACGACGTGAATCTATTTTAAAACCTCCATCTAATTGACCCTTATGTGAGTCCTATTCCCCGGCCTAGGCCTTCTGCTGCACCAACATTGTGGTCTCTCCTTCATTCTCCAAATGAATTTTTGTTCATTTATCATCAATAATATTCCAGTGGATACAGGTTCTACTTTCACGGCCTTCCTTCCCTTTCCATGCCCTCTGTAGCCTTCTAACCGAAGATGACATTATTCCTTTTCACCAAAAGTATACTTTCTAAAAACTTATTTCCTGGTTAAGGCATGTGTCAATCATGGAATGTAAACCTTCAGGCAATCTTTGTAAAATAGAAATGGAAGAAAACTGGGCAACATGCTTTTATGCAGGGGGTGGCTGTTGGCCTAAGAGGGTCTGAGATCACATGGGGAGTGTCACTCATGGACAAAATGGAAAAGGTGATTACCTGATGGAACCGTTACAGGCAGAGCACCACGTAGGGAGTGACAGGGATACCAGCTTGACTGAAGCAAGGCCGCAGGAGGAAAGGGCTTGAGGGGACCTGGCTGGAGAGCGAAACCTAATTTTAGCAATCATCAACAACATTGGCATGGGGCGCTTGGGTGACTCGGTCCGTTAGGTGTCCAACTCTTGATTTTGACTCAGGCCATAATCTCACAATTTTCTGAGTTTGAGCCCTGCATGGGTTCTGTGCTGATGGTGCAGAGCCTGCTTGAGATTCTCCCTCTTTCTCTACCCCTCCCCCACTCGCACCGTCTCTGTCTCTCTCAAAATAAATAAATGAACTTAAAAAAAAATTTTTTTTTAACTGGATTGATTTTAAATAAATAAATGAACTTAAAAAAAATTTTTTTTAAATTGGATTGATTTTAAAATCAATTGATGGGGAAAAATTATAATAACAACATGAGAAGGGTAGTTTGGTAGACATTTTAGGGTGGATGAAAGGAGAAATACTTAAATGGAAAAGGGTCACATTTCTGAGACTGGATTCATCAACTAATACACTCCTAAATTTGTGAGGAAAGAATCCACATCCTGCTTCATACAAAGTAACGATGCAATTACAATAAAAGGATTCTGAAGGAGTTCAAAATTTTCCAAATGACAGAGTGCAATGAGCGAATACATGAAAGGAGCATGGGTGTAATTTGTGAGAATGCAATGCTAATATATTGTGAACGTAAAATACGTGTATAGTGATATTTATACAATATGAGCATATGTATTTATAACAATAGTCTCTTCATCTATTTTAGGATCACTGTTTTTACCAAGGATCCATCATACATGAATTTGATTCTTCTGCCAGTATCAGCACATGTAATGGTCTGAGGTATTGCACAGTTCTCTATTTCGTTTAGAAGTTTGCTTAAGGCATTTTCAGAGACATTTGCTTTTCATCTTTCAAACAACCTTATAAATAGAAAAAAATCATGGGAAAAAGCTACTGCATATTTTCAGCATGAGTAGCCCTTCTAGTCCATCACTGATGTCCACTTCTGACAAAAAGATGTCTAATGCACAGCCCTAAGCAAGACAAATTTTTTGTCAAGGGATTCAGAGACTGCTGGGAATAATCTAGCCTGTCCTCTCATGTCAGAGACACTGAAATCAGAGACTAGCCTCTGAACATTCAATTTGCTGGTGATAGATCTCTATGGAAAAACCAGGTCTCCTGACTTCTAGGCCTGTGAATTCCCACCACAACACAACACTTCACAGCTTTTTGCTCTTCAGGAGTTTAGAGTCTTTAGAAATCAAAAGAGCCAGAAGTATAGCCTGTATCAGTTCCTTATAGATCTTGGGCTCAAGGATTAAAGAGGAAATGTGAAGTAGCAGGGTAGGAGAACAAGACATTTCCGCCTTCATTTATGAGTACTTTACTTAAGTAGATCCCAATATATTCAAGAATAAAGACTCTTTTAATGACAAAATCGCCATGTAATAGTATTTGTGCTTCCATATAGTTACTCTACAATTAAAGCATGATGGACATAAAAATTCACAAAATATTTGTGAGAACTCTGAGATTTCAAAGTAGAGATTGGGCTGAAAATCTAGAGGAGTGGATTCTTACGCGTGTTACTGATTCAAAGGCCACATTATCACCTCACCTTTTTATCACTCAGAATACGTGTGCAGCCACATGCTCATGAGGCCTTGGTCTTATAGTTTCCTTTCTTAGCTAGGCAAAGTCAATAAAATGGAACAGAGAAATATGGTGAGAAATAAAGTAGTAAAATGGTATAGATCTTGAACATACATCATATTTCCATTTTCTGTAGGGGATTCTTCAGGGTATATAACCAAAGGTACCTCATCGAACCAGTGAAATATTCAGATGAGGGACAACATTTTGTGTTCAGATATAATCCAAAGGCACAGTTCGCTGCCAATTATTCTTGTACGGAACTCAATTTTACCAGGACAACTGATCCGAAAGATGCTATTAAAATCATGGAAGACCTCAAAACAGAAGTAAGTGCCTTTTTGAAAAAATCATCTTAATGTAAGGATAAGCCCCTTTTATTTCCTTTCTGATCTCAAAGGAGAGAAACGAGCACAACTAGTGAAATATACATGCCACCTGAGTCTGACTCTTCGTTGTTTGAAATCTAAAATGTCAAACTTTTTATCAACATAGAAAATGTTCGTTACCTACAGCAAATCTCAGTTTGTCCCATCAGTTTTAAGGAACGGGAATTTTTGCAACCCTACATGTGATTTATACCATCAGGGCTACAAGTGGTTGGAAAGAATGAAATTTGCAATGTCGTAAAACCTCTACGAGCTATTGTTTCCCCTTGTCGTCACTGCCATCAATTTGTTGGGAGAGGGGGGATTTGCTGATGATAAGTCAAGGTCTGCCCCTTGACTTATTCTAATTATTAATTGGACATCATCATCAGGCCAAATATTCTAATTATTAATTATTAAGGACAATTAAGAGTAATCGCAAGTTCAATTTCTGGCAGATGATTGCGCTATGAGAGTCCTATGTGTTTTAGGCTTTCTTGTATGACTAGTTCATATCACCTCAAATCCTCATGAGGCGTTAGCCTTTAAAGATCCATGAGTGCCCATCTGCTTCGCATATCCATGGTCCAGATTGTGTCTGAAACTTACTAGGTGCCTAACTGATGTTTTTGATGGACTTAATCAATTAATAGATGATCACTTAAAAAAAAAAGTCCCCCCCAAAATGACTTAGTTAGATCTTTGAACAATACGCCTCTGGTTTATTACTCGGACAATATGCATGTACCTCAATAGATGACATTGAAAGCTGAAGACAGAATTTTCTGGTATTGTTGATTTATAAAAAAGAAGAGTCTGTTATTAGCAACTTTTATACATTTCTTTGGAATTGAGACTACCACAAAGTAGGGGATTGAGAGACAGGAGAAGAGTAGAAGGAATACAGTCAGTCCTATTAGCCAGTCCCACGATTTGCTCTCCTCTCTTGATGAGTTGAGTCCTTTTTATATGAGCTATTTAGTAAGCATTTGCTTTATAAATGAAAAAAAAGTTAAAAACTGCATTCATGATTCTTTATTTATAATTCTTCTATTTATTTATTTAGAGTATAGCTGACAATGTTACATCAGTCCCAGGTGTACAACCTAGTGATTGAACATCTCCATACAGCATGCTACACTCACCACAGGTGTTGCTACCCTCTGTCACCATGCAACGATACCGCAATGCCATTGACTATATTCCCTATGCTGTGCCTTTTATTCCATGACTTATTCATTCCATAACTGGAAGCCTGTGTCTCCCACGCCCCTTCACCTATTTTGCCTCCTACACCCTCCTTCCCTATGACAACCATCAGTTTGTTCTCTGTATTTATAGGTCTGATTCTGGTTTAACTTGTTCGTTTATTCATTTATTTTGAATTTTAGATTCCACACCTAAGTGAAATGTTATTTGTCTTCCTCAGTCTGACTTATTTCACTTAGCATAATACCTTCTGGATTGATTCATACCCTTGTAAATGGCAAGATCGTATCCTTTCTTATGGTTGAATAATATCAGTGTGTGCGTGTGTGTGTTCGTGTGTGTGTGTCACATCTTCTTTACCCTTTCATCTACCAATAGCCACTTAGGATGCTTCCATATCTTGGCCATTGTAAATAATGCTGCAATAAATATAACTAATTTTACCTGAAAGACGATCTGATGTAAAGGGCCACATGTTTTAATAATATATGGGGCTTTCTTTAGATAAATTCCTGGAATTATTAGTTATACTCCTCTTCCTCACCTTCCTGTATCAATATACTAACATTTCTTACCATGAAAATTTTAACGTAAAATGAGAAACATTGACCATACTCTATTAAATTTTTCATAAATTTCCAGAACACCCATAAAGAAAAGTATGTGGAACTGTTCATTGTTGCTGATGATAACGTGGTAAGTTTTCAAATGAATATTTGCTCCTCATTCATACTTATAAAACTATAGTGATCCTAAAAAAGAGAAAAAAATATTTTTTTAAAATTTTTTTTCAACGTTTATTTATTTTTGGGACAGAGAGAGACAGAGCATGAACGGGGGAGGGGCAGAGAGAGAGGGAGACACAGAATCGGAAACAGGCTCCAGGCTCTGAGCCATCAGCCCAGAGCCCGAAGCGGGGCTCGAACTCCCGGACCGCGAGATCGTGACCTGGTTGAAGTCGGACGCTTAACCGACTGCGCCACCCAGGCGCCCCGAGAAAAAAATATTTTAATCGGAATTCCATTTTGGGCTCAATGTTGTTTTTAGCTTCCCCAAACAGATTTATATAAGAGATGATAAGGTCCTTTGGCAGTATAGAAGACTAAGCCGAAATAGAATTCTCCTCCTTTTACTGAGCATATGGAAATGGTGAACAACATACACAAAATTGAAAAAATGAGCACAATCTATAGTTGAGCTCAGAAGAAAACACAGAAAATCTCCAAGTCCTAAAAATGAGAAGAGAATCTCTTGTCAGAGCAGTAAGTAAAATTCACAGGCTTGGTGACATATAGTATATAGAATGTATTGAATAATGCCCAGAGCCATGATGAACTGCCCCATCTCTGAAAAGGGAACCGGAGAATGTCTCCCTACTGAAACTGCAAAGAGAAAAGGAATGTTCTGTTTGTTTGTAGCAATAGGAAGGGGATATATTATGCACAGGAAAGCAAAAATGTTAAACACGTGTCATATAATGATATGGAGCGTGATATATTTTTCTTTAGATACAGAAATGCCAAGCAAAGCTTTTAATGTAAAACTTGATTAGAAACTTGATAAACTGTTACAGCTCAAGTCAAAAATGTTCTATGAAGACATTTTCATAATCTAAGATGAAACTAATCACATGAGGAAGAGTCAACTAACACAATGGGAAGGAGAATAAGCTCTCCAAGAACTGTAAACCAGCCACTGATATTTCAGATTATATACCTAACAATAGAGTCAAAAAAGATGTGCAACAAAAAATAACAGAGTTACAGGCAGAGTAAGTGTTTTTCAGTTCCCCTCTATCAGGAAATTTTAGGTAAAGTAGGAAAAAATTCAACACAAGTAGAAAACATCTGAGTCACATAAATATCGTTTTGATATAATCAATTGGTAGAATCTCCAAAACACACAAAATAGACAATCTGTAATCTTTTCAAATGCAAATAAAATACTTCCAAAAATTAAACTGGTATTTGACCACAAAGAAAGTAAAAAGAAATAGAAAAAAATAGATATAGGGGCGCCTGGGTGGCTCAGTTGGTTAAGCGTCCGTCTTCGGCTCAGGTCATGATCTCACAGTTCGTGAGTTCGAGCCCCGCGTTGGGCTCTGTGCTGACAGCTCAGAGCCTGGAGCCTGTTTCAGATTCTGTGTCTCCCTCTCTCTCTCTGACCCCCGCCCCATTCATGCTCCGTCTCTCTCTGTCTCAAAAGTAAATAAACGTTAAAAAAAATTAAAAAAAAAAAGAAAAAATAGATATATAATAAAGAGCACGCTTTTGTTTTTAAACCACAACCAAATTGGAAGTTATAACAAAAATTGATATATTAAGCCACTAAATTATCATTGGTTTGGAAACTAAAGCAAAATACATTTCCAAATATTAACTGACTGAAGAAGTCAAATCTAAAATTATGAAACATTTATAACAGCAAAAAAGAAAAGACTGGTATAGAGAAAACTTTAGATGCAGGAGGCGTAGCAGTATTTGGAAGGATATTTGTAGTCTTAGACATTTCTATGAAAGAGAAAGAAAAATTTAATGAACTACGAGTCTAACTGGAAAAGTTATAAAACAAAACAGAAGAAATCAAAAAAGGATAGAAAGGAGAAAAAAATCTTAACAATGCATATAATTAATAAAAGACATGAGTCAAAAAGAAGCAATTGGTAGATCAACAAAGCCAAATGCTCATTCCTCGAATAGATTGGTAAAATAGAGAAATCTCTGACAACAATTATTAAGAAAAAAAAAAAGTACAAATAAAATTAGAAGTAAAAGGGAGCATAACTGTAAATATAGGACAGGTTACACGTCAATAAAAAATATATGTACAACCTGTGCCAATACAGTTATGAACAGAAGGATGCAGTAAAATGTTACCAAGCTGACTTGGAAAGAAATAGTAAACCCGAGAAAGATTGTAATGAATTTTAAAAATTAAATAAGCAGTCCACAGTCTCTCAACAAATGAAGACACTAGGCTCACATCCATTTAAACACAGATTTTGCCGAAATTTGCTTTAACAGATAATATCTCTTACAAACAAATTTGAAGAATAAGCAAAAGGAAAAATTCTTTGCACATGTTATACAGTTATTAAACCTTTCACATTAGATAGCCACTGCTGTGTAACAAACAACCCCAAGCTTAGTGTGGTTCGCTTGTATAGCAGTTCCACTGGGCTAGCTGGCTGGTGTAAAAATGGCTTCAGACACTTAACTGATATGTAGTACAAGTATCAGTTGGCCACGTAAGCAGTAGGCTCGCCTGTGCTTCTCATATGATAGCTGGGCATCAAAATATCAAGAAAGAGGCCAGGCTTCGGTATGTAAGAATTTTTAAGCTCCTGCTTGTACTACAATTATTAATTAATGTCTCCTTAGCCAAACTAAGCCATAGAGTCAAGCCTAGAATCGATGTTGGAGGGAAATACACAAGGGTGTGGATATCTGGAAGAGGGATTTCTTAAGGATCATTACTGGAACGATCTATGATGACTTTGATAACAAATCCAGACAGGAAAGTAAAATTGTAAGACAATTTCACTTACCAAAACAACTGCAAAATCCTAAAAAAATAGTTGCAAACCCAGTCCTTGCACAGATCCAAAGAAAGTTTACATGGCAATGGTTTATCCCAGGAATGAAATCATCTCAAATATTTCTGATAAAACTCTTAGCAAGCAAAAGATGGAAGAAAATAAAGAACATTTACCGAAATCGTTCTATCCTGTATAAATATTTAACTTAAACTGTAACGTTGGAGGTTTTTTCCTCCAAAAGTGAGAATAAGATACATTTATTTTCGCTGTCAATACATTTTATTTTAACATATTCACTGAAATTTTTAGTCACCATAATAAAACAAAATAAATGGGATCTATGTTAGTTTAAAAGAAAGACACAACATTATTGCATATTTTTAAAAATGAGGAGAAACTGCAATTGTCAATTTTATAAAAAAAAAGAAGTTGGTAAGATTTGGGCACTAGATAGGCTTACTTTAACATGTTTATGAGAACATGTTAACTCACTTTTAAAAGAGTGCTAAAATAATTTCTTTGCTCTTAACAATAAGTTATTAGTAAAAAGTAAGAACAATTCATTAAATTTAATATTTTACCCCAGGTACCAGGCAAATATTTGCTTGATATGATTTAGGGGCATTAAACTGGGCACAACTCTCACATAGGCTGCCTTAGTATTGTCTTTAAATATTTAAGTTTTTTTAAAGAGAAGTTCCTATAACAAATCATTCATTTTCATTTAACAAATAGTTAATGAGCATTTAATATGCTAGATGCTGAGTGTTAAATGTATATATTTATAATTATATGAGTAATATATTCATACATACATACATGTATATGTTAGCTGAGTATAGAGGGCAACAGCAAGAACAATGTAGAGTTATTGTATTCTGGTAAGACAGAATAGAAAAACAAAGGCAGCTTTTGGAAAACATGTTGAGGAGTTTACATATCTTGAAGACGATGTGATGAATTTTAAGCAGGTGAGTAAGGATATGGATGTATACAACCAGACCCAGCAAGTTGAAAGGATAAGTAGAACACAGGTGTCTAGATACTGGGGAAGACTAACCATTAATAAAGCCTTGGCAATAAGGATGCAAAGACTCTGTACGCATTTGTCTTCCTTACCCCCATCGGTGGAAGTCACTGATTGATAAAGTACCCTATCCCTATGATCTCTAAGATACTCTCAGAATCCTTCTTTCTTGGGGGGTTCTGGGTGACTCGGTCAGTTAAGTGTCTGACTCTTGGTTTGGGCTAAGGTCGTGATCTCATGGTTCATGAGTTTGAGCCCCACGTCAGGCTTTGTGCTGACAACATGGAGCCTCCTTGGGAGTCTCTCTCTCTCTCTCTCTCTCTCTGTCTCTCTCTCCCCCGCCTCCCCTGTTCACTCTCTTTGTCACTCTCTCAAAATAAATGAATAAACATTTTAAAAAATAGAAAGATTTAACAAATTTTTAAGTGTATTTATTTATTTTGTGAGAGAACATGAAAGCATGAACTGGGGATGGGCAGAGGGAGAGGGAGAGAGAGAATCCCAAGCAGACTCCATGCTGTCTGCCCACAGCCCGACTCAGTGTTTGATCTCATGAACCTTGAGATCACGACCCGAGCCAAAATCAAGAGTCCAACACTTAGCCAACTGAGCCACCCAGGTACCCCAGTCTCAGGATCTTTCTTAACTGTATTTTAGGCAAGCTCTACCAACTGGTCACCAAGAATTCTGGTGTGAAACCATATTTGCCATCCAGAATTTAAGGGAATGGTGGAAAAAAGGAAGCTCTGTACAATGAAACACTAGGAGTGATAGGGTATTGGACACAAAGGTGATAAGAAATTTCTTGAAAGATAAAATGGTCAATATTAAAGGTAGAGGAGATGACTAGGAAGATGAGGAAAAGGTGCTCAATGGACTGGATAAGCAGGAGGACATTTATGTGCCTGTCAAGAATAGTTTCTGTGGAATAGAGGCAGTTAAACTAATGAGTATGGGTTGAGGGATGAATGAGAGATAAGTGAAGAGAGTCTAATGTTATATCTTTGAGGTATTTAGGTATGTGAGACAACAGGAGAGCAATGGAGTAGTAAATAGAGGATATTTGTAGGATTCAGAAAAGCCATATTTCTTTTTATTCTTATTATGAGACAAGCTTGATCATTTGCATTTATCCCTACAGGATACTTTTGTTATTATAAAGTATATTTTATCAGGTCTCAGTCGATAATGCCAACAACAAGGTCCACAAATGGGGAGTCCATTTCTCAGAAAGGAACAAAACACAGAATAGACTAAAGCAGGAAGGTCCGCTTTGTTTTCTCAGCCTTTCCCTGGAGAGAAGGGGTGTCACAGTTTCCTGCCCCTCTCCATCACATCTCTGGCTGCAGGGTGGTCTTTGATTACATTCCGTAGTTTGTTACTACCATGGATACAGAAGGGCTGATAAAGTTTCCGGAGTTTTTTTGCAATATAAGGATTTCTGTGACACTTTAGTAAGTTTTGCTTCATCAGCATGATAAATATGGACTCTAAAGAACACTTATCAGTTGGTTTAATAAATCAACGTAATGCAATGTGTTGTGATGTGAAAAGGGAACGAGGTTATGAAGAAAATCTTAAAAGTAGTGCTAAGCTGAAGCATGTCTTTAGAAACTGCTGTATGTAGTGATTTCATATCAAAAATGGAATTCTGCATAAATTGCCACGATTTTTAGCTGACCAGAAAGAATACCAATAAGTTTCCCCCCCCCACCCTGGAAATATCTCACAGTAGGTAAAGTATTTTGTTGAGTTTATACCATCTGTTATTAATGAATGTTGATCTGATGTTTTATTTCCAGTGTCGCAGGAATAATCATCCTGACAGTAAAATAAGGAATCGAATTTGGGGAATGGTCAATTTTGTCAACATGGTAAGATCTGATAACGTTTGAATCAATCTAAGAATACAAATGGAAAATACCTTTTAGGGTAGATATCTCCTGGGTTTTGTGGTAAGCTCAGTATTGAGAAGGCCCAAAACACAGAAATTCACTGCATAGACTAATGAACCAAAATCCATTGAAAACTGTAAGGCAATAAAGGAAACACAGCTCTGAGATTTTGGGTTTTGAAGTGAATGACATTTAACATCTAAATAAATTTCAAATATTGGTTAGTAACCACAAAATTTATAAAGCAACATATAAAGACTTGAAAACTCATCATGCATAAATCAAATCCATTAATACATTTAAAATCACTGTTCCAGAACCTAGCGCTGTTGGAGACCTTGTCCCCACTTCACCCACCTTGTCCCCGCTTCACCCTCAACTTCAGGCCTTTGTTAAGAGCCAGAGCTGAAAGGTCTGCACTCACAATTCTTATCTCTCCTTCAGTAGTAATCTGTTTTTGTTTGTTAATTCAGTGATCTCTAGCCTGGTTAGGGGACCCAGAGAGTTTTGTTACCCTGATCTATCCTGTTTTAGGAAAGCTCTGCCCTTGGGGTCTTTGGGTAGATTATTCTCATCATTTATGTTCTTCCTTCACTGGTAGGAGACCTAGAAGGCTCTGGCCTTAGGACAGCTTCCTGTCTGTCCTCCAGGGGCAGAAGGTTTTTGTTTGTTTGTTTTTCTGGTTTTTCTTTTCCCTTCTTTCAGTAACAATAGGTTTTCACTTGAGTTCTGGGAGAATAAAAAAAAAAATGCCCCACCCTCAGCAATCGATATGCCATCCAGACAGATCATCAATAAAGACTGGATTTGAACAACACTATAGACCAAATGAAACCAACAGGTATACGCAGAATTTTTCACCCAAGAGCAACAGAATGCACCATTTCTTTTCCAGAGCAGAAGAGACATTTCCTGATATGTATTATAGAGTAGGCCACAAAGCAAATCTCAACAAATTCAAGAAGATGGAAATGATATCAAGTATCTTTTCCTGCCACAGTGGTATGAAACTAAAAAAGCAACGCCAGCCAGATTAATGGAAAATTTATAAATATGCAGAAATTTAAGAGCACATTCCTGAACAACAAGTGGACCACCGGATAAATGAAAGGCATAAGAAAAAAATCTCGGTACAAAAAATGAAAACAAAACCTACCAAAACGTATGAGATGCAACAAAAGGAGCTCTGGGAGGAAAGTTTATAGCTATAAATGCAAACATATCAATTAAAAAGAAAATATCAATAAACAACTAACATTCTGCCTTAAGGAACTGCAAAAAGAGCAAACTAAGCCCGTAGTGAGCACGAGGAAAGAAGGGACAATGAGATAAGAACAGGAAAAATATTTTTTTCTGAAGCTCACACAGCAGCTTAATGCTTTTGTTTTTCTGGAGAGCAAGAGTCTGGTAGGTTTAAAGATGTTCCCAAGTCAGCAGTTTCTCTCATCCTTCAAGCCTATCCCACCAGAGGAGGGGACCTCCAAGTCTCCCATTCTGCCCTGCATGGTTTCATGGGCATGCAGAGGAGGCCCGTGGAGAAGATTCTGAGCATAGGTGTGAGATTCCTTATGCCTGTGTCTCTCAGAGGGTCCTACACTCATTCTATCACATACTTGCCCTTTAGCAATTCCTTAAAAATGTCTGGTAAATTCTTCTTATGTCTTGTATGGTGCTCAGCATGCTCTGCTGCTGGGAGATACTCCAGTACCATTTCTGCCTTAAAGAAGCAATCTTTCCCGAGATTTCAGGCATCATCTTACTTGCCCTGTTACCTCAGCTAACTTACCGTCCGATCTGATATGACTTTGTAGATTCTCTGGCTTTTTCTTTCTGTCGGGGTAGAAGCGATATTATTTCCAGTTTTGTACATCGGAGCCAGAAGTAGATATTCTCTGAGCTTTAAGCCTATTTCTATGGCTATTAAAAACCCCATATTTTTCTAAAAGGGAGGAACAATGTGGTGTGAAATAGTTATATCTCATAGTCACCTATGTTTTTTTTTCCTGTTTCTTTTTATTGATTGATTGGGTCCCTTTTCTCCATATCCATACCAGCATCTGTTGATGGCCGTTCTAACAAGCATGAGATCATACCTCATCATGATTTTAATTTGCATTATCCTAATGCCTAGTGATGTTGAACATCTTTTCATGTACTTATTGGCCTTTCATGCATCTTTTTTGAAAAACAGGTCTGTTTAGGCACTTTGCCCATTTTTGAATTAGGTTATTTGTATTTTTTTTGCTGTTGAGTTGATGGGTTGTTTAGGTGTGTTGGATATTAACCCCTTATCAGATATATGGCTTGTAAATATGTTTTCCCATTCCATCTTTTCACTTTTTTAATGGACTCTTTTGCTGTGTAGAAGCTTTGAGATGCAGTCCCATTTCTTATTTCTTATTTTATTGCTTGTGCTTTTTTTTTTTTTTTCAACGTTTATTTATTTTTGGGACAGAGAGAGACAGAGCATGAACGGGGGAGGGGCAGAGAGAGAGGGAGACACAGAATCGGAAACAGGCTCCAGGCTCTGAGCCATCAGCCCAGAGCCCGACGCGGGGCTCGAACTCACGGACCACGAGATCATGACCTGGCTGAAGTCGGACGCTTAACCGACTGCGCCACCCAGGCGCCCCTTATTGCTTGTGCTTTTAGGCGTCATATCCAAAAAATCATTACCAAGACCCATGTTAAGGAGCTTTAGTTTTGTTTTCTTCTAGGATCTTCATAGTAAGACTCAACATGTAAGTCTTTAATCCACTTTGAATTCATTTTTGTGAATGGCATAAGTTACTGGTTCATCTTCATTCATTTATTTACATGTGAATACCCAACATCTCAGCGTCATACATTGAAGAGATAATGTTTTGTCCACTGAGTGTTCTTGGCTTCCTTGTCAAATATTAGGTGACTGTATATGCCTCGGTTCATTTCTGGGGTCTTGATTCTGTTCCATTGGACTATTTGTCTCTTTATATGCTAGTCCCATACTGTTTTGATGACTTTAGATTTACATAAAACTTAACATCAGGAAGTGTGATGCTCCTGCTTTGTCTCTCTCAGGATTTTTTTTTTCTTGGCTATTTGGGTGTTTTGTGGTTCTATATAAACTTTAGGAGTTTGTTTTCTACTTTCATAAAAACTGTCATTGGAATCTTGATAGGGATTGCATTGACTATATAGATGGCTTTCAGTAGTATTTGCATTTTAACATTATTAATTCTTCCACTCAATGGACAGAGGATACCTTTGCATTTATTTGTGTCTTCTTTGATTTATTTTATCAACTTATACTTTTCAGCATACAAATCTTTCAGCTCCTTAGTTAACTTTATTCCTAAGTATTTTATTATTTTTGACGTTCGTGTATGTGGGGGATGAATATTTTTATTTCTCTTCAGAAATTTCCCTGTTATTGTCTAGAAATGCTACCAAATGTCTGCCTGCTAATTTTGTATCCTGCAACTGTACTGAATTCATTGAGTAGATCTTAACAATTTTGGGTTGTCTTTGGGATTTTTCTATAGATAAAATCATGGCTGCAAATAGAGACAATGTTACTTTCCTTACCAATTCTGATACCCTTGTTTCTTTTTATTGTCTGATTGCTGTAGCTAGAACTTCCAGTACTATGTTGAATAGGGTTGCTAAGAGTGGGTACTGGTTTTGTACTTGATCTTAGAAGAAAAGCTTTTTCACCATTGAGCATGATGTTAGCTGTGCGCTTGTCATGTATGGCTTTGCTTATGTTGAGATATGTTCCACCTATGCCTAATTTGTTAAGAGGTTTTTTAAATAATGAATAAAATGTTGAATTTTGTCAAGTTGAGATACGATTCTTATGATTCTTTTCTTTTGTGTTATTAATGTAATATGTCACATTCATTGATTTATTTGAATGACCCTTGCATCCCAGGGTAAATTCCACTTGACCATGTGAATGATCCTCTTAATGTGCTGCTGAATTCAATTTGGTGGTATTTTATTGAGATTTTTTTTTACATTTATACTCATTAGGGATATTAGCCTGAAGTATTCTTTTCTAGTAGTATCCATTTCTGGTTTGGGTATCAAGGTGATGTTGGCCTTGTGAAATGAGTTTGGAGTGTTTCCTTCCCTTTGAGTTTTTTCTTTTTCTTTTTGGAAGAGTTTGAGAATTATTGGTATTCATTCTTTAAATGTTTGGTATATTTACACTATCTGGTCCTGGGGTTCATTAGGATAGTTTTGATTATTATTTCACTATCCATACTAGTAATTGGTCTATTCAGAGTTTCTATTTCTGTTGACTTGGTCTTCCAATTTTTTGCTTTTCTCCTAGGTGTCATGTTTCTTGTCATATAGTTGTTCATAGCAGCCTCTTGTCCTTTACATTTCTGTGATATCAGTTGTAATGCCCCCTTTTTCATTTATAATTTTGCTAGTTTAAGTCCTTTATGTTTTGCTTAGTCTAGCTAGGGTTTGTCCATTTTCTTCATCTTTTTAAAAAACTGACTCTTAGTTTGGTTAATCTTTTCCAATGTTTTCTGTTCTCTACTTCATTTATTTCTCCTATAATGTTTATCATTTCCTTTCTTCAGCTAAGTTTGGGCTCAGTTTTTATTGTTATTGTTTTGGTTTGGTGTTTTTTAAATATGTATAGTTCCTCAGTGTGTAGAGTTAGGTTCTTTATCTGAGATCTTTCTTACCTCTTAATGTAGGCATTTATGGCTACGAACTTTCTTTTCTCTTAGAGCTGCTTTTGATGCATCCTGTAAGTTTTTCATGTTGTGTTTCCATTTTCATTTCTCTCAAGAAACTCTTGTTTCCCCTTTAGTTTCTCCTTTGATCCATTGATTGTGCAGGAGAGTGTGCTTAATTTTCATGTATTCATGAATTTCCAGTTTTCCTCTTGTTATTGGTTTCTAGTTCCATACCTTTATATTCAAAAAAGATACTTGGTATGATTTCTGTCTTCTTGAACTCACTAAGACTTGTTTTAAAACCTAATATATAGTCTATCACAAAAATATTCTATGTGCATATAAGAAGAATATGTATTCTGTTGTTGGATAGAATGTTCTATATATGTCTGTTAGGTCCATTAGGGCTAAAGCATTGTTCAAATTCACTGTTGACTTATTGATTCTCTGTCTGATCTATCCATTGTTCAGTGTGGGGTATTAAAGGCCCAACTGTAATTGCTTTACTCTTTATTTCTCCTTTTATTTCTGCTGGTTTTTCTTTGTATATTTGTTTTCTTTTTTTCAAGTTTTTTTTAATGTTTATTTTGAGAGAGAGAGAGAGAGAGAGAGAGAGAGAATGTGCACACAGCTGAAGAGGAGCAGAGAGACAGAGGGAGAGAGAGAATTCCAAGCAGGCTCTATGCCATCACCAAAAAGCCCAATATAGGGCTCGATCTCAAGAACCATGAGCTCATGACCTGAGCCAAAATCAGGAGTCGGACACTTGACGAAATGAGCCACCCATGCACTCCATATATTTAGGTTTTCCAGTATTGGGTTTATATATATACATTGGGTTTATATATATATATATATATATATATATATATGGTTTATATACATATATATAGTTATAGTTATATATACATAGTTATATATACATAGTTTTATATATATATATAGTTATATCTTCTTGATATATTGACCACTTTATTATTGATTAATGCCTTTAGTTTAAAATCTACTTTGTTGGATATAAATATAGCTACCACTACTTGTTCTTTCTTTCTTTCTTTCTTTCTTTCTTTCTTTCTTTCTTTCTTTCTCCTTCTAGTTACCATTTGCTTGAAATGTCTTTTTCCATTCCCTCCCTCTTAGTCTGTGTGTGTCTGTAGTGCCAATGTGTCTTGTATGCTGTATATTGTTGTATTTTGCTTTTTTATCCATTCATCCACCCTATGTCTTTCAGATTGAAGAATTTAATTTGTTTACATTTAGAGTAATTATTGATAGGTAAGAACCTAGTATTGCCACTTTGTTTATTGTTTTCTGGTTGTTTTGTAGATCCATTTTTTCCCTATTTCTTATCCTACTGTCTTTTTTTTGTGTTTTGATATCTTTAGTATCAGTACACTTTGACTTCTTTATTGTATTCCTTTGTATAATTGCCAGAAAAATTTCCCTTGAGGTTAAATCGTGAGGTTTACGTAAGATATCAAACTTACCACATCCTGATTTAACCTGATAACAACTTAGAATTCATATACTTTGCACTTCTCCTTTTTCTCCTTACATGTTAGATTACTGCTGTGATAATTTAGATGGTTTTTAAATATCTTGTAACAAATAGCATTGTGCACATTGTACTTACGGTTTTTTTTTTTTTTTTGCTATGCTCATTCTTTTTAGCCTTTAAACTAGAGTCGTGAATTACATACCACTATTACAAGATTGCAGATTCTAACAATGACTATATACTTACCATTACAAATGAGACTCATCAACAGAAACTTTTTAGGCCAAGAGAGAATGTAATATCAAAATAACTGTCAACTAAAAATACTATGACTGGTAAAGCTGTCCTTCAGTAATGGAGAGATAAAAACTTTCTTGAACAAACAAAAGCTGAGGAAGAGGGGCGCCTGGGTGGCGCAGTCGGTTAAGCGTCCGACTTCAGCCAGGCCACGATCTCGCGGTCCGTGAGTTCGAGCCCCGCGTTGGGCTCTGGGCTGACGGCTCAGAGCCTGGAGCCTGTTTCCGATTCTGTGTCTCCCACTCTCTCTGCCCCTCCCCCGTTCATGCTCTGTCTCTCTCTGTCCCAAAAATAAATAAACGTTGAAAAAATTAAAAAAAAAAAAAAAAAGCTGAGGAAGAGAGTTCATTACCACCAGACCTGCCTTACAAAAAATGCTAAAGGGATTTCTTTGAGGGGAAGAAAAGGAATGCTAATTAAAATCATAAAAAAACATAAAACGATAACATTAATCTCTTACGTAACTAAGAGTCTCTTATGGTTTGCCTCTCTCTCTTTTTTCCTTTCCCCAGTGTTCACCTGTTTTGTTTCTTAACTTCTATATATGAGTTAAATCATTGTATTTGTCTTTCTCTGACCGACTTACTTCACTTAGCATAATACACTCTAACTCCATCCACATCATTGCAAATGGCAAGACTTCATTCTTTTTGATGGCTGAGTAACACTCCGTTATATACCATATCTTCTTTATCCATGAATATCATGCTTCGTAGTAACGATTGCATCCTCTACTAATTCTGTGAGCTCTCCATTCAGTTTCTTATTCATCCTTTCTTTCAATCTACTTTGTATTGGCTGCTATATACAGTTTTTGTCTCAAAATCCTCATAATGTGTACTTAAACTTTATCTTCTTTTGTGATGACATCAAACTATCTGCCAGCTTAGAGTTTACAAAAGCAAATGGGAATAGGGGTGAGAAGGCTTATGGGCTACAGCTATTGGTGCCTGTTTTGAGCAATCTCCGGGTAAGATTCTCAGACTACTAAGTAGTTCCAAAAATCAAACAAAATATGGCAGCTAAGCTATTGGTCTTTGAAAGTCAATATCAACCTTCTAATCTGCCGTAGAACCAGCTAATGACTTAAATGGAGAGATAAATAAGGTACATTTAGTCCTCAGTGTGTCACTGTTAGTGAATTCACGTAGGTCAGTTATAATCTCAGAGCCTTAATAAATTATTTATTCTAGGCACATCTTGAGCCCAGTGTCTGTAAAGTTTATGACAGCTCAAAAGGAATCTGATTTATTTATTGTTTTTAATGTTTATCTTTTGAGAAAGAGCGAGAGAGAGAGTGTGTGCAAGTGGGAGAGGGGCAGAGAGAGAGAGCGAGACAGAATCCGAAGCAGGCTCCAGGCTCTGAGCTGTTACCACAGAGCCCGATGTGGGGCTAGAACCTGCTAGCTGTGAGATCATGACCTGAGCTGAAGTCGGACGTTCAACCGACTGAGCCACCCAGAGGTGCCAAGGGAATATGATTTTTTAGTCAAGTGTCTTTGTCGGTCATGATAATCCACCCAGGATTCTGGCCAATTTACTCTACATTCTGTTTCAATGTAACCATTTGTAAAATAAGGCCTGTGCTTTTTGTTGATGTACCTCACATATTTTGTTTTGTTTTGTTTTGTTTTATAAAATGTTTATTAATTTTTGAGAAAGACAGAAACAGAGCATGAGTGGGGGAGGGGCAGAAAGAGAGAGGGAGACCAAGATTCCGAAGCAGGCTCCAGGCTCTGAGCTGTCAGCACAGAGCCTGACTCGGGGTTCAAACCCACAAACCGCGAGATCATGACCTGAGCCGAAGTTGGACACTCAACTGACTGAGCCACCCAGGCACCTCTGTACCTCACATGTTAAAAGTACTTATTTTAATATAAAGGAATGTAGTAACAATGAAGGATCCTTCTGTAACTTGACTCTGTGAAAACTTACTTCCCCTTTGAACAGATTTATAAAACCATGGACATTCATGTGACATTGGTTGGCCTTGAAATGTGGACAAATGGAGATAAAATAGACATAGATTCAAATATGGAAAATACCTTATTGCGTTTTTCAAGTTGGCAAGAAATATTCCTTAAAAAAAGGAATAATTTTGATCACGTTCTGTTACTCAGGTATGTAAGTTCTCTATTTTCCTGCGTAACTTAGGTGGATTATAAAAAAAAGAAAATAAAACAAATGAACAGCAACCAAATATTTTTTAAAACAATTGACTTTTGCATAGTACACAGTGACAAAATGTTATGTCTAGCCATACGTAAAATTTCTAAGTGAACTTTTTCATATTCTTTCTTTCTCGTATTGGTTAAACTAGAAAGTAAACATATGATATATTTCCAATTCTGGGCAGGGTTGAAAATGTCCTTCGGTAAACAATGTACTTTTAGAATTGATTCACTTATCAACATCCAACACTAACTCCTTCCATGTTATGCCATTCCAATGCACCACCAAAACCAACCTTTCCGGTGGAAAGGAATATCCTCATTCCCTGGATATTTTCCCTCAACAGAGTGTCCCTATCCAGTGACTAGCCTCTCAAGAGCATCTCTTCTGCTGTTAAAGATGACAAATTACTAATCTATCACAGCGTTAGTATTCCTAAGTAAAGGTTGGGATTTACGTACAGTATTACATCATTCTTTAAAGCAGGGTGGGGGGCATTTTTATCATATTTTTGTAATTCAAAATTCCTATCACACTACTCAGCCTATAAGAAAATGATAAATAATTGTGGAGCCGAACTGATCTTCACCTTGTGTTAACCATAGTCCTGTTATCCTAATTAAATTATGAAAACACACCTTTGGAGCAACAGAATCTTTCGGCAATTCTTCTGGTGCCCTTAAGGCTACTATGTATATAACCATGGTACCCACTTGACCCACTTCATTTTCCTATAATAGCAGTGCTTCTCCTAAGGTCTGTGGATGGCCAACAAATGTGCTTCCCGCCATCACATAAGTGTCAACTTTCAGTTTGAACTCAGAACAGTGAACCTTCCAAAGCCTATAGTTGGAGTCCAGCTCTTTGGCAGATTGATGAGAGTGTAATGCACCTCCAAAATAATATCATTTCTGATTTTTATATCTGGAATGGCCCCCAGCACACATCTGCAGGGGGGTATAATTGTACCTGACTTGGACTCAGATATTAATGCATCAGTTTGCCCTAAAATTACAGAGGTTAAAGTAAAATATCACCATGACCTTTGTTGTGGGCAAGATTAATCTCTTTGCCTATTTCTTGGGCCTGTGTTTTAAAATAATAAATTAGTGTAGAAATATTTACATGGCTGTAAATGGAAAACTTTGCTTTCCTCAATGTCTCTCATCCTGAGCAGTAGCTTCTTACACCAATAGTACGTCTGCAAATACGGAGATGAGAAAAGTGCTACTGAATGTTTAACCGGACATCATATTTGAGACTTCTTATGTGTTGAGCTTCTTGGACGTCTTTTTGCCTATGTTCACAGAGAACGAGAAGGGATGAGACAATATATATGTCATTATCATGGTGTGACTTTTGTTCTTAAGTGACCTTGAGCAAAATCAGACCGTGGTCGCTCTGATGCTTTATTTCCATAGGTGGTGTTCTTCCAAGATCTCCAGATCTAGCAAGACCAGAATTCTTTTTTTTTTAATTTTTTTTCAACGTTTATTTATTTTTGGGACAGAGAGAGAGAGAGCATGAACGGGCGAGGGGCAGAGAGAGAGGGAGACACAGAATCGGAAACAGGCTCCAGGCTCTGAGCCTTCAGCCCAGAGCCCGACGCGGGGCTCGAACTCACGGACCGCGAGATCGTGACCTGGCTGAAGTCGGACGCTTAACCGACTGCGCCACCCAGGCGCCCCAAGACCAGAATTCTAAGTTCTTCCAAGATGTGTAGCCAAACACTGAGACTAAAATGTGCAACATTTCGAAAGCAAAGAAAGAAATAGAGCATATTTCTTTTTTGATCTTCTTGGTCAAAAAAGTTAAAGATTAAAGGTGGTCATCTAGCCTGACCACCTTCCTTGTATTTGAACCTTCTTAATTAAATTCCAAGTGTGGTCCTCCAGCTCATGACCACTGTCTTTAAAGTGGTTCAACTCTAAATGTTCTTGAAAGCATATCAGGTCTGGATTCCCTTAACATACACAACTACATCTGTCTTTTTAGGTAATCCAAGAATAGTTCACGTGACAACTGTTTAAAATATTTGATTATAGCTATCAAGTCCTCTATGAATTTCTATGGTCGATTGAAATTTTCTAAAAATTTTCAACTATAGCTAATTAATTAGTCATGGTGTTGAGTCTACTCACTGTGTTGTATTTTTCCCTCCAAACATTTTTTAGCTTAATTGTTTGGTCTTTTAAGTGGTTTTAACCAAAGCTGAGTATAGAGTAAGCCATGTAAAATTGGACTCTCACCATATTATGTTTTTAGAAAGTACATTTTTTATGACTTCAACTTTAGACTGTACTGTTTCAATGCCTCTAATATACCACAGGTTTTAAATGAGCTTAATAACAACTAAGGTCATCCTCAATTCTAGAACCCTAGAACAAAAGGCACTTTTATGTGCAAAGGTACTAGCATCGTGAGGGTTCGTAGCAATTCAATCTTTGTGTTAAACTATGACCTCAGACTGAAGAGTGTATTTGCACCTTGTTTCCAGTGGGAAGTGGCTCTACACAAATGCACAAGGAATTTCTTATCCAGGGGGTATATGCCTGCCTTATTATTCCTCCAGTGTCATTAAGGTAGGCTGTGTTTTATTGAAGTTATGTTACTTAATCAAAAAATTTGAATTAAACTTTTGTAAATTTTCTGCGTCCCGCTGAAGAGAACACGCATGCATTCTGTCATATATTCCCACCAAGATATGTCATGATGAAACTGTTATGTTTCTTTGATCAAATCAGAAAATAATCTTTTATAAAAACTATAGATGAACAATGAAAGTAAACGAGTGTTCTTCAGAGCTTAAAAGAACACCACACACAAATGCACATGCAAAAACTAAGAAAGCTTTTTGGCATATTAAATATAATGTGTCTTTATTTACAAGGACACATAAAGTGCACAAAACTTGATGGCTGAGTTAGCAAGTGATAATTGTTCTCGTGCTGAAAAGGGAGTGCATAAACCATTTAAAATAGCATAGCAAGACAACCTTGCAATTCATTTTCAGGAAGAATAAGGCCTTCAAACTGCTGACTTACCTATTTTATCTGCTATTTTTCCCAAGTCACTAAGCTTCTAGTAAATGGCGGCCAAGTAATCTTATTTCAGTCTTATTAAGACCTTGAAATTAAAACCTAGTACATGATCTCTTTCTTAAATGGATATTTTTATGATTATGCCTTGACTCCAGTATTTTAATAACACAAATTCTGCATAGTGGAGTCCGTCTAATCTAACACAGGCTGTCGCCACTCCAATTATGACATTGCAACTCGTCCAGAACACATTTTAAATTTCAAACGAGTGCAATGAGAGAGCCAAATCAGAGGAATTTTACCTTTACAGTAGCCTAATATCCCACTCCTTTCTGGAAATTAATTTTTTAGTCATTAACATAGAGATAAAAACATGAAATAGAGCTAAAACACAGGTAACAATCAACCCTGCCTGGGATTTCAAATCACTGAATTTCTGGGTTTTTTCGTAGCAGAAACTTCCTCCGCAAGGATCACACAACATTGTTGTGCAGTGTAAGACTGTACTTTGAAAACATGAACCTCGCATATTTATTTTTACCCTCTTTGAATATCTAGTATATAAAAGGCAAATCAATAATGCTTATTGTATTGTGTAGGACATTCGCTTATCGTTTTTAGCTATTTGTAAGAATGAGTTTATAGAAATCCAACGATGACTATTACTGTGCCACAAAAAAATGATTTCAAAATGTTAGTGTTAGTGACACTCAGAAGGTCGTTTGTCCAACATCATTATATAATTAAAGGACCCGAGGGCAAGACAGGGAGATAACTGAGTCCGTGGCCTCTCCGATAAGTACTACTTAACCAGAAGCTAGAAACTGGGTCTCAACCAATAGTTCAAAACACTATGTCCTAGAGTGCATTATCTTATAGAAATTTCTGATGCACATCTTTTCTTGGCCTTAGGATCTTTTACCTGACCTAAATGTAGTCGCAAGCAGAATTGCACATCAGCTGGGGCATAGCCTTGGGATGAAGCATAATGATTACCCGTGTACTTGTACTTTTGAGAGATGCGTGATGGATCACGGTGGAAGGTGAGGCTCAAACCATGCAGAGAAGACATTTAGATATTTTGCGACTGGCTCTTGATTAGATCTCCATATCGTAGGGATATACTGTTATTATGTGAAAATTTTCCTAATATATTCCGTAAATTCTCTTACAAAACCAGCCGTGATAGGCTTCCCTTTGGGGTCTAAATCTTATCAGTTGGTAGTGTCTGTCCTAGTGATACAGTGAGAGAACATTTAAAACTCCATCTGAGCACACTACAAAAGTATGCAATGATTAATTAGTAAATTGCACTAAGGTGCATAGGGGAGGGATACACTCAATGTGCCTCGTTTTATCATCTTTGTTATAAACTCTAATTTCCTCCTTCAAATCTTTACTCACATGTTATTCTCAGCCAAGCTTCCCCCAGCCACTTGATCCAATTGTTCAATCCTGTCTCCTCATAACACCCTGTCGGGAATTATCTATCCCCTCTTCTTTGCATTTCCCCCCCCCCCATTCTTAGTATTAATCACTGTTTAATATAGTCTATGCTTTAGCTATTTAGCTTGCTTATTATTTTATTTTTCCAATAAATTATAAACTTCATGAAGGCAGAGGGTTTTGTCTGCTTCGTTCACTATTTCATCACACTATCTAGAAAAGTCCCAGATACACTCTATAAATAGTTACAGAATATAGGACTGTATATCCTGTGTGTGTGTGTATATATATATATATATATATATATATATCCCTTCATCATGCTGTGAATTACGTGCATCCAGGTCCTAAACCTTACATGTCCTGGAATTCCTTCACAGAGGGGACACAGTGCATTGCATATAAGAAAAGTGTTTGCTGATGATGGTCAGTGCTTCTATATATTGATTAAATGAAGTAAAATAGTGAAAGCCCCAAATTACGGTGACTGGCACAGAATAAGAACTAAGTAACTGACAGCTGATTTTATATCATTATCTACATAATTAGTAGTGTTTTTCAGAACCCCACCATCCCACAGTAACACACTTAAGGCTCAAAAAGTACATCTGTACCCAATCATTGTGTCAATAATGGCAAGGGAGTCAAAACAAGAGGAAGACAGAAGGGAGGTGAATATCAGTTTTGTGAATCTTTCAACTTTTCAGAAGTATGGTGCATTCCTAGGGTGTGTGAGATGTTACCAAATGAATCCTTTGTTTCAACAAATGTTTACAGAGACCTACTCTGTACCAGACACGGCGTTAAACTAGCGCTTATTGGAAAAGAAGACGAAGATCTATTTCTTGTTTTGAGAAGCTTGTAATCTTGCATGAATGATAAACAATTATATAGATGATGGCAAGACGCACAAGCAAAAAGTGATATGGGGCAGCAAGCCATTCAGTCTAAACTGTGGGCTTCAGGGAGGACTTTCTGGAGGAAATATAGTCAGAGTATTTTCACCAGAATGGCACGCGTTGCCTGTTTCAATAGACATTGCTTATTATAAAAGCCCAGTCGCTACTCTCGTATACCACTAAGGCAAGAGTAGGAGAAGTAAATGGACTTTTAGAGTTGATCGTTTATATTTATTCTTTCTAAATCCCTCATAAAACTTTCTTAGCTGTTCCACCAGTATGCATGGATAAAATTAATCTTTATTTTTCGCTCATCTAAACTCTAGCATTCCGGCACTAAAATTCAGTAAATGCAACAGAATTCGGTACCTGCAACACGTGAAGGATTACAATCCCACGTGCCTGTTCAATGTCCCACTTTCTGATAAGCTAAGTGATTACCCGTATTGTGGAGACAAGAAGTTGGACGAAGGAGAAGAGTGCGACTGTGGCCCTGTTCAGGTATTTGCAAATGATGTTGTATTTAAATTACAAAGTTTGTGCTCAGCTAGAACCTAGGCAGGTAAGTAGCCTTTAATCAACCATATTTCTTGTAAAGTGTTAAATAATGTGGTTTTTTTTTTGTCTCATTTTGAAACAAGTTATTGGCGTAGCCTCATTGCAAGGCATCTTACCAAGTCATGAATTATGCATAATGATCTTGCTGGAGACCCACAGTATCACATTTGCCTCGTTTATATATTAATTGGCTCTTCTTGTGAGAAAACCCCCTAGATGTCATTAAGTCTGATCTCATGCACAGTAAGAATGTGTTCTCCACAGTCAGTCAATTGAGTTTTACTCCGGACCTTAGGAAGCTTGTCTATATCCCAGTTGGACAGTTCATGTGATTAGAAAACTCTGTCTTAATTGAGCAGAAACCTTCTAATCTTCCCATATTTATGACAGCCTTGGTCTCTGGAACACTTAGAAGATTTAAGACAAATGTTTGAGTCATTTTTTTTTTTTTAATTAAAAAAAATATCTATGTTGAGAGAGAGCGAGAGAGAGCACGAGTGGGGAAAGGGCAGAGAGAGACGGAGACAAAGAATCCCAAGCAGGCTCCATGCCATCAGCTCACAGCCGGATGTGGGGCTCAAACTTACGAACCTTGAGATCGTGACCTGAGCCGAAAGCGAGAGTTGGAGGCTTAACCAACTGAGCCACCCAGGTGCCCCTAGAGTAATTCTTAATCTGCTCTTCTCCAACATAGAGGCTATTTTGGTTGAGAGATTATCATGTAGGTATGAGTCCTAAACAGCTACTTCTCAAGTTATGTGTATGTATATCACCTGGGGATGTTGTTAAATTGTGGATTCTAATTCAGGAGGCCTGAAGTGAGGCGGAGATCCTTTTTTCCTAACAACCACCAAGGTCACGTTGATACTACTGGACTGAAGACCGTATTTGTGGTATACACACAAATACTACAGTTCAAAATAAATCTAATTGTGTGGCGAACCAGAGACTGCACGATCAGAGTGGGGACAGTGAGTTTTCAAATGTCTCACCTTAAATGTGAAGAGGCTCTTAACTTTGGAAATTGATGCGTCTGCCCGTGCCTGTTCTTTAAAATAGTTCTACAGTTTCATTCTAACATATGAAGTGTCGTCCATGACAGGATGCAGACAATTTCTTTTGCAATTTTTTAAAACTTTTTTTTAACGTTTCTTTATTTTTGAGACAGAGAGAGACAGAGCATGAACAGGGGAGGGGCAGAGAGAGAGGGAGACACAGAATCTGAAACAGGCTCCAGGCTCTGAGCTGTCAGCACAGAGCCTGATGCGGGGCTCAAACTCACAAACCGTCAGATCATGACCTGAGCCGAAGTTGGACGCTGAACCGACTGAGCCACCCAGGCGCCCCTTCTTTTGAAATTTTAATTTCGTTTGAGGAGACAGGGCCTAAGTGTCCATGAGTTTTTAACGAAGCGTTAACAACAGCAACAAAATCCAGCCTGAAATACTTGGCATCTTGAGAAAAATGTTAAATTATGTCTTCAGAAGTTCTATTATTTCATATTAAACCTTTAGTATAAAGCAGTAGCAGGACCCTTCCTTCCAAAGAGTGGAAAGGAAAATGGAAGGTCAGAAGCTTTGGGCTTTGTACCCTGCCAGGGAAAATTCACTGAGTGTGGAGTACTGAATGGCCAAACAAGAAGGAAACAAAGTAAAAGTCCCAAAGACCAGTTACAAGGAATCGTCTTCACATACATGTCATAACCAAGGACAACGCGTTTGCGTTTCAAACCGAAAGACAAGTAACGATAAGTTATATACACGCACAGCTTATTAAACAGGAGCCTAACTACCAACCCATTTCCGATCTTTAACTTTTGCTTGTTGCCAGGAGTGCAGCAATCCTTGCTGTGATGCAAACAAATGTGTGTTGAAGCCAGGATTTACTTGTGCTGAAGGAGAATGTTGTGACTCTTGTCGGGTAAGGACCTTTGCTAAGACTGGGTTCTCCATTTTCAGTTTATTAAAGATACAGAGGACCACAGAATTGTCTGTCCATTACTAGTTACATTACTAATCCCAGATTCGGGTTATGCTTGCTTGGCCCCAATAAAGCTTCTTCTGAGATGTTCTGAGCCCTGGCAGTGATCTATGGTCTGGGGAGTGAAGAAGCAGGTATCAAATGGTCTGTTAGGAATAGAATTATATGCTCAACATTACTCTTGTTCTTGGCCAACCTTTACGAAATCATTACCAGCCTATTTAACCTCAGCTCGGGTGTCATTCTAACAACAGTGAAATAGAAGGGAAAAGGATTATACTGGGATTTAAAAGTGGGGTATGGGGCGCCTGGGTGGCGCAGTCGGTTAAGCGTCCGACTTCAGCCAGGTCACGATCTCGCGGTCCGTGAGTTCGAGCCCCGCGTCAGGCTCTGGGCTGATGGCTCAGAGCCTGGAGCCTGCTTCCAATTCTGTGTCTCCCTCTCTCTCTGCCCCTCCCCCGTTCATGCTCTGTCTCTCTCTGTCCCAAAAATAAATAAACTTTGAAAAAAAAATTTTTAAAAAACAAAAGTGGGGAATAACTAGTACATGGAGATCTATTCCCAGAAAGGGCAATCAGAAGTCCAAATGACTCTGTCCAAAGGTTTAATGACATTTCTTTCACCCACTATGTTCGGAACTCACAAAGGAAAGGCAACATGTCTTCTTCATCTTCAAATCTTTCTAGAACTCATCGCAATTCAGTGCCTATTGAATGGCTGAATAAGAGAATATTTTCATGCACTTTCCTCCAGCAATGAGTCAGGGCACTTTTCTGGTTCATAGGGAGAGATCTGATCTCTTGGGAGTGGAGATGCCTCATTATAGATACAGGCAAGAGGGGGTCCTGGTTGTGTGTGTGCTGGGGACGGAATGTACTAGAGCAGGATGAGCAGAGCACTTGCTCACCTCTCCATTTTATGTCCTTTTTGGTTCTGCCCACTCTGTTCTAACCATCCTGTCACTCCTGAAATTACATAAGCACCAAGGCATTTACAAATGATAACAATTCTCAGTGGAATGGAGAAGAAAGTCACCATCCAACCTTCAAACTTTTTTTTTTTACGATAAATTAAATGGGTCAACCCTCCCCTACTGACTTAACCTTAAGCTACCTGAATGTGCCCAAGATTTAGCCTTTTTTGTTTTTCTTCAACAGATGAAAAAATCAGGGTCCATGTGCAGGCCAGCAAAAGATGAATGTGATTTTCCTGAAGTGTGCACGGGCCACTCTTCTGCATGTCCTATGGACAAATTCCAAGTAAATGGCGTTCCTTGCAAGAATGCAAAAGGTTACTGCTTCATGGGGAAATGCCCCACCCGGGATGATCAGTGCTCTGAACTCTTTGATAATGGTGAGAGACGATTACCGCAAATGGCTGATAACGATAATAGCCATTATTTCTATTATTATCCTGTAAAAATTTATGGGCAAGATTGAAGATAACGCCGTTTGTGGCATTCTTCCCAGATATCACCTAGAATATCTCTGGATATTACCTTTAATATTAGTAGAGGGGCGCCTGGGTGGCTTGGTCGGTTAGGCGTCCGACTTCGGCTCGGGTCATGATCTCGCGGTCCATGAGTTCGAGCCCCGCGTCGGGCTCTGTGCTGACGGCTCAGAGCCTGAAGCCTGTTTCAGATTCTGTGTCTCCCTCTCTCTGCCCCTCCCCTGTTCATGCTCTGTCTCCCTCCGTCTCAAAAATAAATAAACGTTAAAAAAAATTAAAAAAAAATTAGTTGATATTACCATTAATGTTAATTAACTGCCTCGGTATGTGGGTTAAGGTATGTTTGTTACTTTTTTTTATATCCCCACTCTGCCGTAAAATATCTTCCTGATGCAGTAGGATAGTTTTAACGTGATTTATTTATCCCATTCTGCCTCACCACCCCGTGATACTGACATTTCAATTAGATTAGCAAAATAAGGTATTTTGTGATGTATAACATTCATGTTTTTATTGCGTTACTTTAATCATACTACTTTGGATCCTAGAGGTGAAAGACAGTTCTGATCTCTGCTATGAGATGAATAAAAAGGGAAATAGATTTGGATACTGCAAAAATAAGGAAAACGGATTAATTCCCTGCGAAGAGAAGTAAGTACCACGTAAAGAAAAGCAAGTGCTTTCTAAGAGCGTTTTTGTGAAATCAGAACCCGAACGGCTCTTGTTCTGACAGCTGCTAACCTCTTTTGATTGAGATTAGGAAGAGAGGGAGTGAGGCAGCAAGGACACAACCCTGGGAGTGGCACTGGCATTTATGTACTGTAGTGATGAGCTGAAGGTCGTGGAATATGAGGAAGAAAGATGGGCAAGAGTTAAAATTCCTAGGAAAGAAAGGGAAGAAGAGAAGCTGCAAAAAATAAGGAAGAGCAAACAGGAGGAGGAGGAGGAGGAGGAAAGTAAAGTGGGAAGGGGTGGAAAGAAGCAGAAAGAAGGATGCGAGTGAAGCCATATTCAGAAAGAAACGTAGAACTTGAAACGGGAAGGAAGGGGAGAAGTGAACGATCTGATTTTAAAAACCATGAGCTGTGTCATTCTTCCAGACTTGTTACGCTCAGAAAGGCTTTTTTTTCTTTTTTTATGTGCCACAAAGGGATATGGACTGAAAACAAACGATAAAAGACTTAGGTCGAGTTTGACTTTGCTCCTAAATATACTAGGTGAAACTGGGCGATCCCTGAACCTCCTCTTCCTTCCAATTGTTGCCCAATCTGTCAAATGGGTGCTATAATAATAGCAAAGTCATAGGTTTGTTGTGAGAATTAACTGGGTGCTCTGTGCCAGAAAGAAATTCGAATGTCTTGATTAACATTATGCTAACTCAAATGACTAATAGGAAATATTCTTCTGGAAACGTGAGCTAATGTGGATTTGTGACAATCACAGAGATCTAAAGAAATACGATCGTTCTACATCACAGTTCCCAGAGTCAGGACTGTGACTGTCCAACCTTTCATCCTGCCTCTCTTGATGCTTCGGCAGCCCACTGATAAGCCTGGGTCTAGAGAAAAGTTACCAAACTGCTTCACTGCTGGTCTCGTCTCTGTGAAATCCTTTTTTCCTGGTCCCAAGTCTGAGAATATTCTCCCTTTCCTTCAGAGATGTCAAATGTGGGAAGATACACTGCAGCAGAGGGAAGCACTCGTCTCTACCTGGAGAAGAAAAGATCAATCACCTTAAGAAGGTTTCAAAGAAGAATGTCACTACTGAGTGCAAAACTTTTAGTTCATACCGCAATTCTAAAGATTTGGGCCTGGTTGCTTCTGGAACAAAATGTGGAGATAAAATGGTGAGACGAAAGCCTTTTGTCCTATTAAAACTTCTTGGTTCAGTCACTTGAAAACATTACTTTTTGTAATTGGTTCCTGAGGGCTTATATATGAGAAAGCAGAAACAAATGGGCAACGTTTTTATTTTTTATGGAGCAAAGTAGTAATAACACGATAATAAATATTCATTTCGCCTAATCTCCGTTAGACAAAATGATGTGTAAATGTTATAAGTGTGCTTAATTAGTATCTTACAGTAGACATCTAGTGAAGTTATAGGCATAATTTTTAAAATTAGTTTGACTATGAAGTAGCTATAGGTTCTTCAATTATGTTATTCATTCAGCCACATTTATCCCATTATTACCACCATACTGTGGTGCCAGTGACCATGCTGTACACAAATGATGTAAAGATGAGTGTATTTGAGAACTTCATAGACTGCATTAAATATTAAAATCAAACACAAGTGCTTTCATAGTGTTGTGACCAATATACATTCAAGCCCAAAGGAAGAAGTGATGGACTTTCCTCGTAAAACACAAAAGGCATCTTATGATGCCATTAAATGAGTGACGTTTCAGCTTTGAGGTAATGAATATTTTTCAATGCAGACAAAAATGAGAAAAGACTTTAAAAAATTGTTTTAATGTTTATTTATTTTTGAGACAGAGAGAGAGAGAAAGCGGGGGAAGAGCAGAAAGAGAGGGAGACACAAAATCCAAAGCAGGCTCCAGGCTCAGAACTCCAGAATCTGACGCAGGGCTGGAACTCATGAACGTTGAGATCATGACCTGAGCCCAAGTCAGATGCTTAACCAACTGAGCCACCCAGGTGCCCCGAGAAGAGACTTTTTAGAAAGAAATACTAACATAATATGCAAAGATACAGTGTGTATGGCATAGTCAGATAACTGGGAAATTTTGGTGTGACAGGAGCTTTGGGTGAAATACCAGAAAATGAAATTGAGCAGCTAGAATAAGGCCAGATTAGAAAGGGTGTATTATTCCAAGATGAAAAGTTGAGAATGGACACTAAAAATAATAGCCAACTCATCAAGGTTTATAAACACAGGAATATATGGAAAACATAATACTTTCAAAAAATCAGTTATTTTGAAATAGTATGGCTTCTTTCTGTAATACACCTCCTTTCCTCCCATACCACCACCCCCAAACATTGCAGTGCCATTCATATCATGTGATAGAGAAATGAATTGAAAAATAAAATTCATAATGTAAAAAAGGGAACTAGAATTTTAATAATTTAATGGAGCCCTATATTGCAAATCCATATTCTTAACTACTACAGTTTCCCATTATAATAACTAAATATCAAAATGGTGAGGAATGCGTATTTGTGAAATTTTAGGTATGTGTACCAACCACATGCTAGAAAGTTCAAGGACTTTCAATGGTAGAGTATATGAGGCACCACGTTAAAGAAAATATCAAATAATTTCTTATTCACTCCAGATAAGAAAAATCATCCAAAAATACCAACAAAATTGTTTTTTTTTTAATGTTTATTTATTTCTGAGACAGAGAGAGACAGCATGAGTGGGGGAGGGGCAGAAAGAGAGGGAGACACAGAATCAGAAGCAGGCTCCAGGCTCTGAGCTGTCAGCACAGAGCCCGACGCGGGGCTTGAATTCACAAACCGTGAGATCATGACCCGAGACGAAGTCAGTCGCTCAACTGACTGAGCCACTCAGGCATCCCCAAAATTGTTTTGTTTTTTAAGAGATAAACAAAATTGACAAACCTTTAAATAGGCTGACCAAGAAACAAAGGGAAGAAGATTCAAATAATGAAATTATAAATGACAGAGGAGACCTCACAGCTGATATCACAGAAATAGAAAGTATCATAAAAAATACTATGGATAATTCTACAAGTTGAATATTTAAAAGAAATGGATAAATTCTGAAAAACATACAACGTACCAAAATTAAATGATGAAGAAAGAGAACATCTGAATAAACCAAGAGAGATCAAATCAATAATTAATAATCTCCTAACAAAGAAAAGTCCTGGATCAGATGGTTTCACATGTGAATTCTATAAATATTTAAAGAATTAATGCCATTCCTTCTCATCATCTCAAAAAATCAAACAGGAGGAGACACTTCCAAACTCACTTTATGTGGCCAGCATTATGCTCTATCAAAGCCAGAAGAGGAAACCTTAAGAAAAGAAAATTATGGGCTAATATGGTTGATGAACATAGACGCAAAAATCCTAGCAAAAATATTAGTAAACTGAATTCAGTAGCACCTTAAAAGGATTGTACACCATAATCAAGTGGGATTTATTCATGAGATGCAAGGATGAGTCTACTTACACAAAGTAATCAATGATACACCTCATTAAGAGAATGAAATACAAAAATCATATGACCACCTGAATAGATTCAGAAAAAGTATTTGGCAAAATTTAGAATCTTTTCATGATAAAAAGTCTCGACAAATTCTGTATGGAAGGAATGCACCTCAATATTATAAAGGCCATATGTGGTAAACCCACAACTAATATCATACTCAATGGTGAAAAGTTGAAAGATTTTCCTTTAAGATCAGGAACAAGAAAAGTGTACCCACTCTCCCCACTTCTAGTGAGCATAGTACTGGAATTACCAGCCAAAGCAATTAGGCAAGAAAAAAACAACAGGCATTCAATTCAGAAAGGAAGAAGTTAAATTTTCTGTTTTCAGGTGATATGATCTTATATATAGAAAACCCCAGGGATACCTGGGTGGCTCGGTCGGTGAAGTGTCCAACTCTTGGTTTCGGCTCAGGTCACAATCTCAGCTTCATGAGTTCAAGCCCCGCATTGGGCTCTGTGCTGGCAGTCCAGAGCCTGCTTGGGATCCTCTCTCTCTAAACTCTCTGCCCTTCCCCCACTTGCACTGTCTCTGTCTCTCTCAAAATAAATAAATAAACTTAAAAAAGAGAGAAAACCCTGAAGGCTCCATCAAGCAACTATTAGAACTTATAAGTGAATTCAGTAAAGTTGCATGATAAAGAACAACATAGAAAAATTAGTCGCATTTCTATACACTAAAGAAAAAAAAAACCTATCTGTAAAAGAAATTAAAAACAACAACAACCCCATTTATAATAGCATCAAAAACAATAAAAATGCTTAGGAGTAAATTTAACCAAGAGGTGAAAAGTCCATAGACTGAAAATTATTAAAGATGATCCAAAAATATGTAGGAACGACAAAAGATCTTGAATCACCAAAGCAATCTTGAGCAAAAAAGAACAAAGCTGGAGGCATCACAATATTGTAAACAATATTACAAAGTTATACAGCATGGAACAGCATGGAACAGACATTTAAAACATGCACATATAGACCAATGGAATTGAATAGAGATACCAGAAATAAATTTATGCGTATATGGTCAACTAATCATTGACAAAGCACCAACAATACACAATGGGGAAAGGATAGTCTTTTGAATAAATGGTTCTGGGAATACTACACATGCAAAAGAATGAAACCGGATTCTTAACTTACACCATGAACCAAAATGAACTGAAGATCATTTAAGGTATGAAACAGTAAAGAACCTAGAAGAAACATAGGAGAAAATCTCCTTGTCATTGGTCTTTGCGATTTTTGTTTTGTTTTGTATGTGACACAGACAAAAAAGCAAAAATAAATAAGGGGGGCTATATCAAAGTAAAACATTTCTTCAGCAAAGGACACAATCAAGAAAATGAAAAGGCAACCAATGGAATGGAAGAAAAGATCTCCAAACCATATATCTGATAAAGAGTTAATATACAAAAGTTTTAACTAATTCATACAGCTGAAGAGCAAAAAACCCCAACAGTCCAATTTAAAAAAAAAAAAAAAGGCAAAGGACCTAAATGGACATTTTTTTCCAAAGAAGATATGCAAATGACCAACAAGGAAATGAAAAAGAGTTCAACATCATTAATCTTCAAGGAAAAGTGAATCAAAGCCACTAAGAGATGTCACCCCACACCTGTTTGGATGACTGTTATCAAAAAGACAACAAATAAAAAATGTTGGTGAGGCTGTGGAAAAAAGGAAACCCTTGTGCACTATTGGTGGGAATGTAGACTGGTACAGACATTATAGAAACAACAGTGGTTCTTCCAAAAATTAAAAATAGAACTACGCTATGATCCAGCACCCTCACTTTGAGCACATAACCGAAGAAACTGAAATCAGGATCTTGAAGAGCTTATCTGTACTCCTAGTTTCATTGCACCATTATTTACAGTAGCCAAGATATGGAAACAATTTAAATGTCCTTCAACAGGAAAATGGATAGTGAAAATGTGATATGCATATAAAATATCATAATAATATATACTACATAATTATGGAATATATATAATGGAATCTTATTTAGCTTTGAAAAAGAGGGAAATTCTGTCAGTTTCAGCCACCTGGATAAACTTGGAAGACTTTTCATGTATGCTAAGCAAGATAAAGCCTGACACAGAGACACAAATTCTGTATGATTTCACTTATATGTGGAAGCTAAAGAAGTCAAAGTCACAAAAGCAGAGAGTAGAATGATGGTTGCCAGGTGGGGAAAATGGGGAGATGTTGGTCAAAGCATACGAATTTTCTGTTATCAGTAAATTCTGAAGGTTTAATGTAGAAGGTGGCTATAGTTAATGATACTGTAATGTATACTTAAAATTTTCTAAGGGGGTAAAATTGTAAGTGTTCTCAACACACACAAAAAAGTAACTATTTGAGGGGATGGATGTGTTCATTGTTTTTCATAATCATTTCACAAAGTATACATTGTATACATTGTATATAATGTATATAATACATTGTATTATATGTATAATACATATAATATGTATTGTATAATACATTGTATACATTGTATATAATGTATATAATATATATAATATATAATGTATATAATGTATATAATGTATATACATTGTATACAATGTATATATTGTATATAAAATCATTAAAATATGCACTTGAAATATATACAATTTTTATTTGCCAGTTATACCTCAGTAGAGTTGGAAACACATTTCCTGATACACGTTTTTTAAAAGAAATAGGCAAAAATCGGAGGGACTGGGTGGCTCAGTCAGTTAAGCATCTGACTCTTGATTTTGGCTCAGGTCATGATCTCATGGTTTGTGGGATTGAGCCCCGAATCCACTCTGCACTGATGGTGTGGAGCCTACTTGGGATTCTCTCTCTCTCTCTCTCTCTCTCTCTCTCTGCCTGCCCCCCACCCCTCCCCCCCCGCTCACATACTCTCTCTGTCTCTCAAAATAAATAAATAAGCATTAAAAACACAAAGATAAAACAAATAGGTAAATATAAAAATAACAGTTAAAAACTTAAAAATTGGGCAGGGCGCCTGGGTGGCTTGGTCGGCTAAGCGTCCGACTTCGGCTCAGGTCATGATCTCACAGTTCATGAGTTCAAGCTTCGCCTCGGGCTCTGTGCTGACGGCTCAGAGCCTGGAGCCTGCTTCGGATTCTGGGTCTCCCTCTCTCTCTGCCCCTCCCCCACTTGTGCTCTGTCTCTCTCTGTCTCTCAAAAATAAATAAATGTAACAAAATTTTTCAAAAAGAAAAAATTTAAAAAATGGGCTAAGACAAGCCAGGCAATAATTATAAGCAACAAAAACAACAATAATTTCGTTATAACATGTACAAAAAAATAACAAGCAAAATGGAAAACAAAGTTAATAAGCATAAATAAGAAGATTAATTGATATTAAAAATAACCAAATGCACAGTTGACAACGGTGGTATAGCAAGCATGGATCTTACTGAATCAAAAGAAAACTTGCAGGATGCCTGGGTGGCTCAGTCGGTTCATCATCTGACTCTTGATTTTGGCTCAGGTCATGATCTTGCCGACGTGGAATCAAGCCCCAGGTCCAGGTGCGTGCTGAGCATGCGGCCTGCTTGGGATTCTTTCTCTCTCCCTCTCTCTTTGCCTCTCTCTCTCAAAACAAATAAAAAGAACAAATACACTTTTAAAAAACAGAAAAAGAGGGGCGCCTGGGTGGCGCAGTCAGTTAAGCGTCCAACTTCAGCCAGGTCACGATCTCGCGGTCCGTGAGTTCGAGCCCCGCGTCAGGCTCTGGGCTGATGGCTCAGAGCCTGGAGCCTGTTTCCGATTCTGTGTCTCCCTCTCTCTCTGCTCCTCTCCCATTCATGCTCTGTCTCTCTCTGTCCCAAAAATAAAAAAAAAATTTTTTTCAAAAAAAAAAACAGAAAAAGAAAACTTGATAGAAATAATAACATAAATTGTTGCACTTACAACTGTAGAATCTTTGATAGGTTAACATTTGACGAATTAGTAAGGATACAGGTATTTTAATGATGAGTTTGTATATAACAGTGTTTGATTGTACGCTGCATTAATTTCAAATATCTCATCAAACATTTATGGAGGATTTCTTCTACAGAAGATTCTACATGTGTTTTTTTTTTTTTATGATAGAAAAAAATCATGTAAATTCTAAGAGCAAGTCATTAATTCATACTGGTAACTTTATTTCCAGGTGTGCAGCAATGGTGAATGTGTGAAACTCGAAAAGGTCTACAATTCAACCAATTGCTTGTCTCTGTGCAGTGAAAATGCTGTAAGATTTGGCTCCTTTTTAAATTAATGTCTTGCCAGTCATTTGCTTACATAGAACTTCATTCCTGAGCGTGTGTGTGTGTGTGTGTGTGTGTGTGTGTGTATGAGTGTTGATTTTTAAATAAAATACACATTTGGGATCCATGTTTTCATGTATCATCCATAAAATTGATCTAAAGATCCAAACCAGGTATTACTTATAGATATTGTCAATATTATAAGTATATAGTTTATCATTGGACTGGTAATCTAGAAACCTAGTAACTTATGTACGTATGAAGTTGAAACCTAAAGGATCTATCATAATGTCACTTATAGTAAAATTATAACAATGTCAACATTAATTGAAAGCTTTTGACCAAATAACAAAAATTGTATATATGTATACGTATATATATGTATATGTATATATGTGTATAGGTATATATACATATATGTATATGTAAATGTATATATACACACATATATATATAAATATATATAATTACTCAACACTACCTGATACCACCAGTACCTAGCAGTTTGCATTTGTGGGTAACATTTTTCCTTAGTGCAATTAATCAGTAACACTTATATATAAGTTGTATATGTATCAGGTACCCTTCCAAGTACTTTACATATATTACATTCTAAACACTTCATAACAGCCTCAAAAGCGAGTACTATTCTTATGCCCAATATTACAGGTGGAGAATAAGTCACATGATGTTATGTTGAAGGAAAAGCTGAAATATAAGTGCAGAAAGAGTGCATATCCTTAATCATTACACAATGGTCTTTGATGAAGAAAACATTGCACCACTCTTTTTTCTCATATTAACGTTATCTCGTTATTACTAAGGCTAGTTAGAGCCAGCTGTGTGGCTATGATATGTCTAACTCTAACAGGGCTGTTCTTTTAATAACATTCATGTCTTCTAGAAAGATAAGTAAAGCCATCTAATTCATCTGGTTTTAAATTTGTTAGAATCATTCTCTCGTCCAAAGGCCACCTTCAAAAGTTGCTGCTTCTTGCAATTTCATTTATTTATTTGTTTCCAATGTTGATTTTGATATGCAGTTTAGTTAATTAATCAGTAAAAGTGTGTGTGCGTGTGTGTGTGCGTGTGTGTGTGATGTAGAAACAGCACCAAGCTAAGCGACGTACAAAACACACATATAACCTGATAAAATCATATGATTAACTATTCTTCCAGGTGGATGGCCCTGAACGTCAGTGCCAGTGTGAGGAAGAACAGGAACATGTGGACTGGGGAGAAAACTTAAATGCTACCAGTGAGCATTCTAGAATATAATATCAAAAGCCTAGACAATGAGAAAGCTTGTTTTCCTTATTTCCCAAGTCTAATACGTATATGTTGTGTTTCCGTGTGGATTTGTATGGTCTTTTTACTGTTTTGCATATTTAAACACCTAAATTTGAATATACTACAATTGCTGTTTCAATTAATATATCTTCTTCTAGTTATATTTGGATAGGATCTTCTAAGAAACTGTAACACAACAAGACCTTTTTATAATCAATTAACAACTAACAGTCAACACATTTCCTGCCGATTGTTGTTCTTAAACATAACGGACTCTAGGGGCGCCTGGGTGGTGCAGTCGGTTAAGCGTCCGACTTCAGCCAGGTCACGATCTCGCGGTCCGTGAGTTCGAGCCCCGCGTCGGGCTCTGGGCTGACGGCTCAGAGCCTGGAGCCTGTTTCCGATTCTGTGTCTCCCTCTCTCTCTGCCCCTCCCCCGTTCATGCTCTGTCTCTCTCTGTCCCAAAAATAAATAAACGTTGGAAAAAAAAAATTAAAAAAAAAAAAACATAACGGACTCTCAGGTTGAGTGTCAGTTGTTAATACACATGATAATTTGTGTAATGTTTTGGTCTTTTACTTTATATTTTAAAACAATGGGGCGCCTGGGTGGCTCAGTCAGTTAAGCATCCGACTTTCGCTCCGGTCATGATCTCATGGTTTGTGAGTTCGAGCCCCGCATCAGGATCTGTGCTGACAGGGGCAGAGCCTGGAGCTATTCTGTGTCTCTCTGTCTCTCTCTGCTCTCCCTCCCTTGCTCATGCTCTGTCTCTCTCTCTCTCTCAAAAATAAATAACCATTGAAGACAAATTTTTAAAAAAATGGAGGAAGGGGACATTAAAGTCCTTTAAGTAAGGGAGAAGCTGGATTGTAATAGCTCAGTTAATACTCCATTGTCCTAAGGTTGATGTCCTGGCTAAAGCTTATGTTTTTTAATGTTGCAGATATATCCATCCTGGTTGTTGTGCTTGTCCTGGTGATTGTTGGTGTAGGGGTTGTGGCATTATTAATTCGTTACCAAAAATGTATTAAGCTGAAGCAAATCCAGAGGTATGTATTTTCTGTCTAGTGAAATGGGACCACTACTAACGATATGTAAGCTCTGTCACTGTAGACAATATTCCCTGGGGGAGAAGTCTAAGCCTCTTACTGAAGACGAAGTAAGAGTAACAGTAAATCAAGCTTTTACATACTTATGTTCTCATCTCCGAACGCTTATCCCGATGGTTCCCAACATTTGCTACACATTGGAATCATAGAGATTTTTTACAAGAATACTAATTTTAGTTCCTCCCTCCGATTAAATTGTTATGGGGTGCAACCTGAGTATCAATCGTTTAGAAATCTCCTAGATGATTAAATATTAACCACAGGCATACCCCGTAGCTTATGTCAATATTCAATTTCCTCTTGACAGCCCACCAAGAGAGACACTGGGAGTGGAGAATAAAGGATACTTTGGTGATGAGCAGCAGACAAGGACTGAGCCCATCTTTCCCAACATTCATCCCCTCCACGTAAGCCAATGTCACTTGCAACAGCTGACTGATTTAAAAAGTAGTTGCATGTGTATTCGAAGCAGAACTAGCCCTAAGCTGAGTGATATGGGAGGTGCTAAAGAACAGTTTAACGTGATTCCACACCAAAGAAGCCTTTGGTCTACATGTGGGGAAGGAAAAAATGGCAGGACATAAGCAAAGCAAGACACTATTTCACAGCAGAATCTATGAGTTAAATAAAATATTGATTTGTGCACTATCAGAAAAATTTACAAACGTAAACTATATTTTGGAGCATAAAACAAGTCAGTAAGTTTAAAAGAATGGGAGTCATACACAATGTTACCAAAACAAAACTTTATTAAAAATCAGTAACAGGGGCGCCTGGGTGGCTCAGTGGGTTAGGTGGCCGACTTCGGCTCAGGTCACGATCTCACGGTCCGTGAGTTCGAGCCCCGCGTCGGGCTCTGTGTTGACAGCTCAGAGCCTGGAGCCTGTTTCAGATTCTGTGTCTCCCTCTCTCTGCCCCTCCCCCGTTCATGCTCTGTCTCTCCCTGTCTCAAAAATAAATAAAACGTTAAAAAAATTTTTTTTAAAAAATCAGTAACAGAAAACTATCGGAAAAAATCTCCAAATGAATATTAGATAATAAATTCTAAAGAACACCTGGGTCAAATAAAAAATCAATAGGGAAAATGGAAAATACTCTAAACTAAAGGAAAATGAAACAATACCTACCCAAATTTGTGGGAAGTAGTGAAACCAGTAAAGGAGAGTTTATAGCACTAAATACTTATGCTAGAAAAGGAGAAAGGTATCAGATCAATGACATCAGCTTTCATTTTAGGAAACTAAAAAAAGAAAAGCAAATAAAACTCCATGCAAATAGAGGACAGGGAAACAATAAATATTGGTCACCAATGAAACTAAAAACAAAACAAAACAAAAGCCTGTAGGAAGACAATAAAAGCAAAAGCTGCTTTCCAGAAATTAATAAATCTTATAAACTTCCAGTCACACGAAGAGAAAAAAGTACGAGAGTCAAAATGATTATCCGGAATCATAAAGGTGACATCCCAGGAGAGTAATGTCCCTTATTAAATTGACAATATTTTGAATATGGAGGTTAATTTGAAAAACTATTATTTTAACATATATATATTTGACAGTGTAATTCAATAGTAAACTTTTTGAAAGTTTCTTTAAATTTTTTTTTTCAACGTTTATTTATTTTTGGGACAGAGAGAGACAGAGCATGAACGGGGGAGGGGCAGAGAGAGAGGGAGACACAGAATCGGAAACAGGCTCCAGGCTCTGAGCCATCAGCCCAGAGCCTGACGCGGGGCTCGAACTCACGGACCGCGAGATCGTGACCTGGCTGAAGTCGGACGCTTAACCGACTGCGCCACCCAGGCGCCCCGAAAGTTTCAAATCACCAAAGCTTACTCATGAAGAAATAGATTACCGAAATATCTCCGTATTTAACAGAGAAATTGAATTTGTAGTAAAAAACTTTCTACAAATAATAATAATAATAATAATAATAATAATGGGTGAATTCTACCAAACATATAATGATGAAATATTACCAATTCTACATAAACTCTTCCAAAAAATGGGAGAGAATGGATACTTCCCAACTCTTTTAACAAGGACAGTATTTTTCTGTTATCCTTCTAGAGAAAAGCATTATAACACAGAAAACTGTTTGCCAATATTTCTAATAAATATAAGTGCATAAGTACTAAATTTTAGCAAATTGAATTTCACAATGCATAAAAAGCATATGGTATTGTGACCAAATGAGGGTTATCCTAGGAACGTAAGGAAAATTTAACATTAACAAACCAATCAAGCTAATCCACGGTATCATTTGGCAAAAAGTAAAATTATATGACCATCTCAATAGATGTGGGAAAAGCATTTGGAAAAGATGTAATCTATGTTTCTGATAAAACTCAGTAAATTAGGAACATAAGGGAACTTTCTGAACCTGGTGAAAGTGTCTACCAAAAAACCTATAGCTGATATATTTATGGTTAAAAAAAACTGAATACCTTTTCTATAACAACAGGAATAAAGCAATGATGTCCACTCCCACCACTTCTATTGAAAATTTTACTTGAGACTATAGCCATTACAATAAGGCAAAAAAAAAAAAAAATTAGAAAGAAAAAGAGTAAACCCTTTTGATTTGCTGAAGACACTATCATCTATTAAAAATCCTATACTAGGGGTGCCTGGGTGGCTCAGTTGGTTAAGCACCTGACTCTTGATTTCAGCTTAGGTCATGATCTCACAGTTTGTGAGATAGAGCCCCATATTGTGCTCTGTGCTGGCAGCATGGAGCCTGCTTGGGATTCTCTCTCTCCATCTGTCTTTGCCCCTCCCCCACTAGTGTGCTCGCTCACTCTCTCTCTCTCTCTCTCTCAAAACAAATAAATAAATAAATCCTATAGTAAAAAAAAGTGAATTTAGTAAGATTTTTTTTCAATATACGAAATTTATTGTCAAATTGGTTTCCATACACCACCCAGTGCTCATCCCAAAAGGTGCCCTCCTCAATACCCGTCACCCCCCCTCCCCTCTCTCCCACCCCCCATCAACCCTCAGTTTGTTCTCAGTTTTTAAGAGTCTCTTATGCTTTGGCTCTCTCCCACTCTAACCTCTTTAAGATTTTAAGATATGAATCTGTGCACAAGAACCTATTGTGTTTTCATATACAAACAAGAATATAGCTGGTTATGGAATTTCAAACATTCAGAAATTGACTTTACATTCGGATGCTAAAAGATCTGCCTTGGTCAATTCTTACTATAATACATAAAGAAACTCCCACTCTTCTCCAATGTAAGTTTGTTTTGTGAGTTCTTAGACTTCCTCAGTATAAGAGAATAACTTAGGGAAGAATATTTCCCCATGTGTTTTGATATTTGTACATTTACTAGGTGTTTTCTAGAGATAGCTAGAAAATTTATTGTGCAGGCTTAGAAAACGGTCATGCTTGCCAGAACACTTAATTGCAAGGATAATAGTATCTCCTTTTCCTAGCAAAGAACTGCAGAGTCCTTGGAAAGACTTCCAACCAGTTTTTCAAGTCCGCACTACATCACACTGATATGGTCCCTTACCCCCTTTCTGTTGGGTTGTGCTAGTCTGTGGCCATTTCAGTAATAATTTCGGTGTCCCTTAACTATTTGCTGGTTCCTTGAAAAAGTCAAATAATATAACAAAGTTCTGAAAGCACCAAGATTTTCAACTGTCTATTTTTCAAATGAACAATTCTCATTATGCTGTCTAAATTAATAGCTAAAAGGGTGTGATTAAGATAGCTTTCAGTCTATGGTTCCCCAGAATCCTCCTCTCCCACAAAAGGATCTCGGAGCGTGCCACCCAGTTGGGATGGGGCTGAATGATCATTTCTCCCCATACCCCACCCAACCAGTACCGTCCATTTTGACAAATTGTTTTTATGGGGTTTCAACAGGGATGTTTTCGCAATGGAAACTCCAGCGCTTGAAAAATGTTTGGAAATCTCTTACCAAATACAGGGTTGGAGAGATCCACCACAAAGTTTACAAGGAAAAAAAAAAAATGGCTTCGGATAAGGCTTCACTCATCAGGACTATCTCCCCATCGTCTCCCATAGCAATGTACAAACTTTCTTAGATTGTTCATGGATCAAGAAGAGACCGTCTGCATGTGATGTGCTTGTGTGTATGTGTGTCTACGTGTGACATCTGGTACAGTTCCTGACACAGCACAATTTATGCATTCCAGAAATCTGCAAATAAAGACCTAAGAGGAATCGCAGATCCCAGTCAACGTGCCAAAGAGGTAGGTTCCTGTGACAGATGGTACCCCCACCCACTATTGATGGAGAGGGGACACCCTCTGTCCTTACCAGAAGAATAAGATGGTTGGAATTGTTTTCTCCTGTGTGCTAAAATTTCTAAGAGACAATTTAACAGAGTATGTTTCAGTCTGAGAGTTTCAAACCTGACTATGGGAGCAAGCCAAGATTGAACAGCGTCAGAGTCTTGGGCATTTTAGACATAACAGAAACAAAACTTCTTTTCTTGCCCAGAGTATACACACTTACGGTTTCTCATGAAGAATTTTTTCCAAATGTTTATTTATTTTTGAGAGAGACGGAATGTGAACATGGGAGGGACAGAGAGAGAAAGAGAGAGGGGAGACACAGAATCCGAAGCAGGCTCCAGGCTCTGAGCCGTCAGCACAGAACCCGACGTGGGGCTCGAACTCACAAACCGTGAGATCGTGACCCGAGCCAAAGTGGGGATGCTCAACCGACTGAGTCACCCAAACACCCCTCTCATGAAGAATTTTAAGGACCAAATAGCACTGGTAATTACGGAGAAAGTATCATTCCTAATGGAACAGTTATTTCATGTTTGCTCTATCAAAGTTTCACCTACTAAATCAATAACTGACTCTATCTGAGGGATGATTTCACTTTTTAAGTGCAATGGCTATATTAGAAAATTTATCAAAAAGTTGTGATTTTTGTCAAAAGGAGACAAAATGAGCACTGTGGCTACATTTCAGAGTTTCCGTTTTCATTCCTTCATTCATCCATTCATCGATTTCTATTGAGTTTCTACAATGTACTGGGTTAATCAAAAGTTTCCCACACAAAAAATTCTTTTTTCATCTTTTTTTTTTTTCATTTCAGAGAGACATAGAGAGGGGAGCGGGGAGGGAGGGAGAACCTTAAACTGGCTTCACACTCAGTGCAGAGCCCTACATGGGGCTCAATCCCAATCCTGGGATCAAGACCTGAGCCAAATCCAGAGTCAGCACTCAACTGACTGAGCCACCCAGGTGCCTCCCCCGTAAAAACATTCTTCACAAGAAATCTTGCCCAAGACACTTTCTGTGTTGGAAAGGGGAAGGAAGGACATTTCTAATGGTCCTTCCACTCCTTAATGATGGACATGTCTCATACTGATGAATGGAGAGAGATGCTCCTTAATGCAAGAAAACTGTTTGGCGTCCTGTAATGAAAAACAAAATGATTTTCTCTCTTTTGTGATAGGCTTGTTCATTTCATAATGACTGCTTAATTAGCCATGGCTAAGGAGATCTGGAAAAAATGTGAACAAGCATAGTACAACAGAATCCCGGAAAGTTACTGTAATTAGCAGATAACAATGAGTAACTGAAATATAATGTGCCGTAGACTTTAGAGAAAATAACTTCTTTTTACCCGTCTGTTTCTATTTAGAGCTTGAAACTGGATATCCAAAATGGCTGTGCAAGGCTAGGCTGAGGATTCTGGATGAAAGATCTTCACAACCCTCCCTTGATACTTGCTACACAAATTTCTGGTAGTTTTTCGAAAGTTCTTATCAAGACAGAAAATGTTGATGAGAAGCAACTTCTTTCTGTAATCTTTACCTGTAGAATTTACAGCCTGTAGTGTAGACATATGCTACAAAAAGATTCTTGGCGTTTTTCCAATGACTAATACAATATAATACAATAACAAGACTAATACAATAGACTAATACAAAATAGTCTCCTTGCTCTCGTATTTCCTAAAGAATGTCAATCTGGTTACTTTAAAAAAGACTCTTAACCTTGAGGATATTAAATTACACCCCTTAGTCTAAGAAGCAAAACACTTCTTATAAAAGTTTATTTCTTTGGAATCCTAAAACTACTGAACCTTAATTGGAATATGACACGATTGCCACTAATTCTGGTTTAAATGAAGTTCTCTCCTGCAGAAATGCCAAGGGATTCAGTGCAGGAAGTCATCTGATTCCACTAAATAATTAAAAGGTAGAGGGCTGTCTGGCTCATGTCTTGTCAGTGAAGGAGGCAGGAGAATAGTCCTCTTCGCTACAGAATCAATCTTAAAATTGTGGCAGCAAAGGAGGACATGAGATGCTTCTGGTTAAATTGCTAGAATCTCATCTTAAATTCCTAAATTTTTAGAATTCCTTCTAAACCTGACAGAGAAATCAGAGGGGTTATAAGAATTTCAGAAAATTAACTCCAGCAGAGAAGAAATACTCACGGCTCCCCTTAAGTGCTTGTGAGATCTTTGTATTGCACAGATTTGTGCAATTACTGTGCAATTTCTCTTCCGTCTCTAGCCTTCCCTGATTCTGGTGTGTGGGGCTGTCCAAGGAATGATGTCAGATATTTCTTATGCCCCTGTTTCTCAGCACTTTCTCTTGTATTATTTTCTTTTTGTTAACGGTTAAAGCTATATCAATTGTTTCTTTGTATACTAAAGTGAAGTTTTCAAGTGCTGAATGAGAATTTTATGATTCAATAAATAAATAAATAAAGCAAGGAAGAGAGCTGGTTGTTCTTGGTGAGATTCGTCTTGCTTTGCTTGACTGGCTGATGTGAGGACACAGTGAGATCAGCAAAGGACAGCAGGGGCTCAGCATTTCACACCTACGCAAGAATTCCATAAACGTTTGTTTTTCTGATTAAAACCACTCATTTAAGAAAGAGTGTTGACGATTGCCCACTGAAAGCAAAAGATGCTAATTTAACTGTTTTATGACTCTTGAGGATCTAGAACAAACTGAGGGTTGCTGGATGGGAGGTGGGTGGGCTAGATGGATGATGGGCATTTAGGAGGGCACTTGTGAGGAACGCTGGGTGTTGTACATTAGTGATAATTCACTGAATGCTATTCCTGAAACCAATATTACACTACATATTAACAGACTAGAATTTAAATAGGAACCTGAAAAAATTTTTAAAAGACAAATGTTTTAGGCAAACTTGTGAAAAAAAGAAATTGTGTGTCATATATACTCCTTAAAGCAAACAATAGTCTTCTGATGTCCAAAACGAAGGGACAGTCACATACTTGTACTTGCTTGAACAATATGTATATCTCGCCTTCTTGATTCACTATGTTTCTTTTTGCTCTCGTATCTCTTCCAAAAGACTCACCATCATCTCTGCCTTGGGTTCCACATTCAGCCAACTACTAGTTTCCAGTGATCTTTCTTTCTTTTTTTCTTTTTCTTTTTTTTTTTTTTTTTTTGCAAATTTTTCTTCTCTCTCTCAAATTATAAATATGCCTGGCACCACCTGAGTCCTCCTGCTTGGCTGCTTCATGCCTAGATAATCACTCCGGACTTCTAGTCTGCTCCCCCATTCTTCAAACAACCCCAGTGGCCCTCTGCCGGGTAAGCTTCCTTTTTACTTTAGGGAGTATTTTCCGTGCTTGTCTTTATTACTTATCCGAGGCCCTAGAGACTTGACCTACACTTCTTTCAGATGCTGCCACCCTGTGCCGTGTTTCTTAGGGATCTTCTTCCAATGCTGTCTGCAGATTAGGAAGCAATTTCATGGTTCCCTTGGAGGGAACCAGCAGGAGTGCTGTCCCTGTCCCCGGTTATGGAGCCAGGTATGATTTCATAGCCCTAATATGTATGGCTCTTATCACCTTGGACAGTTTGAGTCTTTTCCTTTGAACCAACAGTTGCAGACAGAACTCCTGTTGTGAAAGAACAGACCTGCAGGACTTACGGGCTAAGGAACTCTGTCTTCCTCCTCAGCCTGTGAACTGCTTCCTTTCCCACCCCATACACAGATAGAGAAGCTTCCTGATGCTGGAACTTGCCTAAATTAAGACGGAGCTCGTCACAGCTCTGGGATGTTGTGTTTTGGGGTACTGAGTTACTCTTGGTAGCTGGGTCCCTGTACCCTCTGCCCTGGACAGAGGTGGATTTATCCAGAAGCTAATAAAGCTTGAGCTTCAGGGTCTATTGCGTGCATTGCTCCTTCCCAGACCTTTTATCTAATTTGACATTTACATTTTTTAATGACAGCGGGCTGGTTTGGGTTGGGAAGTGAGAACTCAAATGAGTTCAAATGATGTGTCGGCAATAGGGCCTATACCTAAGAAGCAGACAGGACAAAGATGCCTTGCGTTAGGCAGAAATCGGTGGTTCCAGGAAGGGCAAGGAGACGACTAGCCAGAAATGGGATGGGGGGATCTGGGAATGAGAGCAGCATGGCAGGTGTGAGGAACCCTCAGCAAACCCATGGCCGACTGGGGAAAGGCTTGGGTGGAGGTGAGTTCCCAGACAGCACCACAGAGAGGCAAATCCAAGAGGGGAGCGAACTTTGTGCTCCCCAATCCACCCACAGATAATGGCCGAGGGCCAGGGCTTTACCAGCGTGCTGAGTTTGAGCAAAACCTGTGCGCAAATCACCGAACCCTGAGCGGTGCAGACCCAGCGCGACCCATAGAAAAACACTACAGAATACAAAACTAAGGGACGCCTGGGTGGCTCAGTCGGTTAAGCGTCCGACTTCAGCTCGGGTCACGATCTTGCGGTTCACGAGTTCAATCCCCACATCGGGCTCTGTGCTGACAGCCTGGAGCCTGCTTCCGATTCTGTGTCTCCCTCTCTCTCTGCCCCTGCCCCACTCGCCCCACTCGTGCTCTGTCTGTCTCTCTCAAAAGTAAATAAATAAATAAATAAATAAACATTAAAAAATTAAAAAAAAAATAAAAGACAAAAATAAGAAGCGAAACCCGAGCAGACATATCAGCAGCTGTACATCCCAGGGGGCAGAGGGTGGGCGATAGATTTCTGCAGTTTAAGTTCGGACAAGTGCCTTTAAAAAACACTCAGAAGTAAATCAGAATTCATACTTGTTGCAATAGTATTTAAATACTACTGTATTTAAATAGGAATCCCCCGAGATCCCACACAAACCAAACCAAAAATCAGCATTCCCAGGACAGCATCCACTATTCTAAATACCGGCCAGCTCCACACGACCACGTTGCCATTCTCAGAAAGCATCGGTGCTTCCAAATGGTTGTGGAATTTAAAGGCACTCTTGGCGCGTGCTAGAATTGGGAAGTCACATCCTAAGAGACCAGTGATCGCTTCCTGATCTGGGGCACAAATACATGCATGGGCCCTGGCAGTCCTCACGGCGCAACGCATCGATGAAGTTTCTACAACGACCACTAGGTGGCCACCTAACAATCTAAATCTATGAGCTGGAAACTCGCCCAGGGATTTCACACAACACCAGGCCTGCAAAATCCTGACTTGAAATAAACTTACCAAGAAGTTTGTTCAAGTCCGTTGCTGCTTACGGAAGACGTAGCTCTGGGAGAATTTTGCCAGACCCCTTTCTTCTCTGCCAGGGTTGTGGGTTGGGTTAGGAAAACAGAAACGGAGCCCCTGAGCAAAGGGGAGTTGGGTGGACAGCCTGAAAACTTTGAATGAAAAGAAAAAAAATTTAATGTGTATTACTTATTTTTGTGAGAGAGACAGAGTGCCAGGGGGCGGGGGTGGCAGAGACAGAGGGAGACCCAGGATCCAAAGCAGGCTCCAGGCTCTGAGCTGTCAGCACAACTCAGGGCTGGGGCTCAGGGAACCAGGAGATCAGGACCTGAGCCGGAGTCAGACCTTACCTGACCGGGCCACCCAGGCAACCCGAGCCTGCAAACTTTGAATGAGGGTTTTAGATTCTGAAGATAGATCCTGTTTGCTTTAAGTCTTGAAGTCTAGTGGTGTTGAAGCTGACATGTCAGTAGCTCCAAATGAGCCCATTTCCTGAAAACTACTGGGGGAGGGCCGGAGGGATCATTTTGTTTTTGCTTTTTGCTTTTATATGATCTGTTTATTTATTTTAGTTTTTTGAAGGCCAGCAAATTAGCCACTGCTGCTGCGGACGCCCGAAGAGCTCCCCCTTTCCCCAGGGATATGTAACGGCTAGTAAATACCAGGAGGAGCCATAGCCTGTGTGACTTCTATGACTTTGTGGTGGGACATTCATGACAATCGACGTCCCCCTACTAATCACCACCAAAGAGTGAGAAGTATCGATTCGACTCCTGAGCTTATTGGACGCTTCCTGATCACTTTCTGACGGAAGCTCAGGCTTTTAGGAAAGTCGAGAGCCATTAGGCAAGGGAAATGGCTGTCTCCCGGCCTTGACAGAATCCATTAGTATATTTCTCCAGGAAAAGCTGTAATTGGGAACTATATGTAATGGATATTGATCGCTAAGAAAAGAAGATACACATAACTTTAGACCTCAGGGGTCTCTGGGAGCAAAAGGTACGTCAAAAGGGGTCTTCATAGGATCATAGAAGTGCTAGCCAGAAAGAAACTGAACCGGAGTGGCTTTAGAGCTTAGGTAAGTCAATTCAAAAGCCAACAGCTGCTTGCTCAAGGATATCAGTGATTTGCTGCAAGGAGAACAAATATAGCATTTACTGAGCACATACTATTTGTCAGGCATTTTTCTAAGCACTTCACATGTAGTATTTTATTTGACTTAAAATAACTCTAGGAGTTAACTACTGTTATTATCGTCATTTTACGCTTTGAGAAAATCAAGCTCAAGGTAAAATAATTTGCCAAAAGAGAGACAGTGGACGGAAGAGCTTAGCCAGAATGTCAACCCAGGGATTCAACCTCCAGAGAGTATGTTTCCCCTCACTACCATGCTGTGTGGTGTGAATATAATTTTGAGAGGGAGGAAGCACAGGTCCTTCCAACATTCACAGTGGTGCAAGGGCAACTAATATATCTTGCTCCCATTCCCATTTCCCGCCCACCAACTTCCCAATCTTTGCAGCCACAGCCACAGCCACAAGGATGCACGGATTTACACAGCAAGGCAAGCCGGGCAGGGGCCACCTCCCAATTTAGCCCGACCCTGGCTGCCATGCCATGGTTGTCGTGGTAGAACCGTATTTGGGGCTGCACCTGAGACTTGAGCACCTTTAACCCTTCTCCTGGCCCGTCCCAAGGGGGGTGCTTGTGATCCCGGAACCTTTTTTGTGTTGTACTACTTCGGGTTCTGGGAGGTCTTACTCAGTAGAACAGGGCTCTGCCTGGGCAATGTTTTAGTTCGCTTTAGCATGCCTGGGAAAGATGTCTGTGGCTTCCTTCATTGTCAGCGTGCAGGGAAGGAAAACCAAAAGAATTATTGACATTTGGCAGCAACTTGTGGATCGGGGGATGGCAAGAGTCAATGAAGGGGCCGACCCGCGCTGAGGAAGGCTTCCTGGTTCTAATCAAATGAAGAATGCACCAGATAAGTGGTCACATTTAACATGTGGGGAAGGAGAGAGTATCCGTGCCACACCTTTCAGACTCCACACACCTGCTAGACCTCTCCGTATTTCTCATTCGATGCCCACTGCAAAGCCCTGTGAAAGTATTCTCTTACAGACAAGGAAGGTATGGATAAGAGGTGCCCAGCCACACAGCGGTCAAGGGTGAAACAGAAATCCGCACATAAGCCTCAGACCAAAGCCACGATCCGAACCCACTCCAGTTTCTTTTTTTTTTTTTTTTTTTTTTTTT